GCGTATTGAAGGGCATTCAAACCAGAGGAATTAACCAGCTAAGGAAAAGAGCACAATTATCATCAATAAAGGGCATAAAAAAAGACTAAAAGGTTTCCCACATCCCAACAATAATTAATTAGTAGTAGTAACAGTGGGAAACAAGTAGCAATTTTAAACATATACACATAAATCCAGGAATACCTTTTACAAGGCATGTGTAAGATTTACCCGGAAACACAACAAAACTTGGCTTAGAGACATAAAAGAGATCTGAGTAAATGAACATACATATCAAATCCTGGATGGAAAACTCTAATATGTAAACATGTACTTTTAAAGGTTAATTTATACTGAAATTATTTAGTTTGAAATTTGAAAATCCCCAAAGAATTTGGGGTATGGAGAATTGAAAGACTAACTATAAAATTCATTAAGAAAAATAAACTGGTAAAATAAAAAAAGAGGAGGAGGGAAGAATAGGGATTTGCTTTACCAGATCCTAAACTGCATGAAACCACAATGATTAAAACTGTACACTGGTGCAGGAAGAGCAGACAGATCAGTGGAACAGAAGAACAAGTCTAGAACCAAACTTAGCCATAAACAAGAATTTAGTATACAAAGAGGCAACAACTTTAAATAGTGTGAGAACATCGATTCTGTAAAGGCAAATGACAAACAGGACAACTGTATGATACCTGAAGGGACAACACCGTTTTGTTTTTTGTTTTTTTTAGCCACATGGCATGTGGATCTTACTTTCCCAACCAGGGGTTGAACCCACGCCCCTGCATTGGGAACACCAAGTCTTAACTTCTAGACTGCCAGCAAAGTCCACCAAGGGGCAATTTCTTTCATATACACCCTATATATTTTAGAATCTTTTCAAAATAAAGAAAAAAATGCTCAGTAGAGAATTGGGCAAAGGTTATTTAACAGGCTTCCCTGGAAGCTCAGACAGTAAAGAATCTGCCTATAATGCAGGAGACCTGGGTTGGATTCCTGGGCTGCAAAGATCCCCTGGAGAAGGGAATGACAACCCACTCCAGTACTCTTGCCTGGAGAATCCCATGGACAGAGGAACTTGGTGGGCTATAGTCCAGGGTGTTGCAAAAAGCTGGACACAACTGAGCAACTAACACTTATTTAACAGGCAATTCACACACACACATACAAACTGTCAAAGATAATGAAAACTGTTAAACTGTCTTAGTAATACAAGAATGCAAGTTAAAACAAGTTGTGTGTTTGCTTTTTATCTATCTAATTTATAAAAGGCTTAAGCTAAAATATAAACTTGTGAAAGTAGAAGGAAAATATGGCCTATAATCTGCCTGGTGGGCAATCCAGCAGTCAACATCAAAAACCACAACCATTTGGATACCATTCATTTCACAACCATGAACTTACCCTAAGGAAATAATTATGATGTTGGACAGAGATTTATCTATAAGATAATTTAAGGAAGCATCAATTATATTAGCAAAATACTGGGAAGAACCTAAAATAGGAGACTGGTTATATGAGTTATGGCACACCATATAATGTAATATTGATTTTTAAAAAGTATGCACAAAAGTCTAGTGGATAGAGAACTTAACAGGAATGTTGACAGTTGTTATTGCTGCAAGGTCTGTTACTGGTGATTTTTATTTTCTTTGTGCTTTTCTGAACTTTCCAACTTACTACACTAAACTATTTTAAATGTTTCTTTCCAAAAAGCCACTGAAAGATACATTTCAAAGTTTCACTGATCTCCTTGGGCTTCTAGAATTATGGATGATTTAATTTTTAGTATATGATTTTCTATATTTCTCAAGGCTTCCCCAGTGGCTCAGGAGTAAAGAATCTGCCTGCAATGCAGAGGACGCAGGAGATGCATGTTCGATCCCTGGGTGGGGAAGATCCCTTGGATCTGTCCAGTATTCTTGCCAGGAAAAACTCATGGACAGAGGAGCCTGGTGGGCTATGGTCCATGTGGTTACAAAGAGTAGGTCACGACTGAAGCGACAGAGCACACAATATACTATATTTCTCAAAATTTTCTATGAGATCAGTTTTTAAAAGCGAAAGAAAGACCACACACTCACCATGGGTGTTTCCTTAGGAGGCTAGACTCACAAAATCAGTTAAAAAGCAGAGAAGCACATGCCAAGTGACAGATGTATCTACAGTGACACTAGCTGAGCCCTCCGCCCTGGGGGCTTGGGTTCTGTTGGGCTCTGGATCCCAGCACCAGGTACCCAGCATCTACGGTGCTCCACGAATGCCTAGTCTATCGAACGAAAATCAGCGCTACCGCCTCTGCCACTACCACCTCCATCTCCACCATTCTAGAAATCTTTTAATTGTCCCACCACTGCCAAGATTATCAAAGGGGCAGTTTGAATATAATGTCCTCATAGTGGAGTCCTGATGCACACCAACTATTCAGAATCTCTAGAAAGCCACAGAAAAGGTTTTGGTGTGAAAAAACTTAACACAAATCTAATTAACTCAGCAATGTTAAAGGGGAAAAAAAAATCCAATTATTAGAATTCTTTTCCTCAATTGCTTTTTTTTTGAGAGCCATGTCAATCTTTTTTTTTTTTTTTTTAATGTGATGTTAAGGAAAAAAATGGCCTAAGTGTGTCAGCATTTTGCAAGTTGGTCTTCTTTTGTAGGATTCAGCTACGAAAACCAAGGAGACTGCAGCTGTTCAATTGACCATCAAACCTTAAAATCATAAGCATCTACTCTTTACAAGAGAAGAACCCAACAACTTTAACTCCCTCCCACCTCCCCGACCAGCAATTGCAGCAACCAGCACTTGGTTAAATTAACTAAATGTGAGTCTTTACTTCCCTCTCTTCTGCTCACATGCTTTAGACTAGAGGAAAAATGATCAAGACCATAGAAGACGAAATTCCAAAAAAGGAAGGACAATAAGGAAACTAGATCACTAGCCCTTCAATAAGCAAATGTTGACTGGTCACAATCTGAATTATAAGCAACCGGCCCTGTGATGACTTCAAGTCCAGTTTTCTAGAACCTTTACCTCCATTGCTTCCTGTGCAGACTGTATGTTTCTCATTAGACAAACTACACTTCTTTAAGATGGAGACCATGCTGATTTCATACCCCAGGATGAACTTACTTAGTACCCCAGTACTGAGCACAAGCTCTTAAGACATGGCAGGCAGAAAATAAACATTCTTGAACTGCTAAAATAAATGATAAAATTGACATCCTCTGGTATTCCTGCACAGGTGAAGCACAAAGCTGAGTACACCTAAGAGCCCTTACCTGAAGGGATGACATTTTAATAATACAAATAAATGCCTATGAGGAGGAGGAGAACTAGGAGGCTTTTCAGCAGAAACAGTCCCAGTTAACCAGTTCCCCTAAAAAGCATGGAGATGTAAGAATCTAAAGATGAGAAAGAGAAGCCACATCAGACTACCTTTCCGCCTTCAGAAGAGATACTCTGGAGTTTCCAGTTCATCACACACACACACACACACACACACACACACACACACACGTAATGCTAAATGTTTGGCCTGTTCCAAGATTATCCTCCCTTGTCAGGTATGGTATTCCCTTTCACTGATGAAACATGCCATTCAGAACCTGACTATCAGAGTCAGACTCTCTTCAAAGAGGGTTTGCATGAAATAACCACGTGTTTAGAGAACCATCATCACGCATCATCCTGTTCATGCAGAGCACCGAGAAAGCACTCAGTCTGGATGGGCAGCCTGTACTTCAAACTGATGGGAGTTCAGAGACCAGAATGAGGCTTGTTCAGTGGTCTGCAGCCCTGGCTGAACATGAGAATCACCTGGGGTGCTTTTAAAAAAATACTAGTGTAGGATCTCAACCCAAATCAATTAAATCAGAATTGCTAGGGGTGAGGTCTGAGCATTGGTGTGTGTTTTGTTTTTTTTTTTACCTGAAGTTCCACAAAGAATTAACTTTTTTCAGCATGATAAAAGCAAGTGGTTATGTTTTGTATTACTAGAGGTAGAAGAAAATGTGCTTTTAAAAACACTCCACAGAGAGTTTATTATACAAGATTGGTAAAATGCTGATAATTGTGGAAGCTGTGTGATGGATACATAGAAGTGGATTACATATTCACTCTACTTTTGTATATTTGAAAAATTCTATAATAAAAAGTTACTCTATAAAATGAGCAGAAATAAAAATGTGTTCTCTTACCCCAAAGAGTATTTGACTGTGTGTGCATGCTAAGTTGCTTCAGTTGTGTCTGACTCTTTTTGACCCCATGGACTGTAGCCTGCCCGGCTCCTCTGTCCATGGGATTCTCCAGGCAAGAATATTGGAGTGGGGAGCCATGCCCTCCCAACTCACATGAGTGTATGTGTATACTATATTTAATGGAAAATAATTTTTTAAAAAACATTAAAATAAAAGCTTCGCAAGTGATTCTAACGTGCAACCAGAGTTGAGAGTGACTAGGCCACATTATTTGAAAAATAAGGAGTCAAATCAGCAGCAGAAGGGAAGTCAGGTGAGATGTGGTAAGATGGAGCCAAGGGAGGGTGGCCCGCCTTGTCTGAGTGCCTCACTATCTCCAATTTCTGCTTTGCATATATTTACCTAAAATTTGAGCATCTTTATTCACAAGTGAACTTCTGTATGTGTATGTATATATATATCTATGTGTGTACATGATTTAAGACAGCACTACCAATTATATTCAGTAGCATGTAATTTTTGAAAAACACTATTTGCGGAAATATTACCTCTGACTTAAAACACTTTGGCCTTAGAATAGTCACATGGAAAGCCCTGCTGGGGAACAGCAGGCTGCAGGGGTGAGGGTTGGGGGTGTCATCTTGGGAACTAGTGAGCCCGTCTATCTAAGGGTTGTACAGGCAGTGCTGATTAGAGGGTCCTGAGTGAATTTTAATATCAGGAGCTCATTGTGAGAAGTCAAGAGCAGCAACCAAGTGTCAGTGAAAAAATACATCAAAGCTCCCCCCATCCCACCCCCGGAACCCCCAACTCACCTATTCTTCTCCATTTCATTGTGAGTCGATCTGAAAGAGGGACCAATAAGAGAAACATTATTCTTGTTTTAAAGGACTGCTCCAATGCCAACACAATTATTTTAACTTCTTTCTCTCTCAAGCTGGAGGGAGAGAAGACAGAGGAAGGGCTCTACTAAAGAAATTAGTCCCTCTGGGGAAATAGATAAATGTAAATATCTCAAACAGCGTTCAAGGAGAAGGGAGAAACTGAGAGGCATGCATTCCCTAGTGGAAAAGTAATCCATTTTAAGAAAGGAAATAAAAGGGTTCTATTTATACAAAGGGAAAACAGCTGCAAAATGTGATGCGAATTTGGGTTATATAATACCACAGGCTTTCTTTAGGCTGAGCGTGGAACACCAGAAATTTGGCATCCCCACCCAACTCTGCAGTTCTCTAGGTGTACTGTACACCAAAATTGTATGCTAAGTTGTCTGACTATAGGACACAGTTTTAAAAGGATAAATATAACCTTTCTTCCCTCAATCTTTCTACTCCTTGAAGTTATTTTATGGCATGCAACCTCCCCAAAGATGCTATTGTTGAAGAGCTACCAAATGTTTTTAGGAAGGGGATTCCAAAACTCAATTCAATGTAAAGATGACAGGCTGGTTAAGGCAGCCCTTTGGGTGGAATCTGAGGTCCAGCTTTGCCACTGACTGATACTGCGGAAGAAATAAAAACGCTTACCATCCTGTCCTTTACTCTTTTGTAAAATGGAAATAAAAATAATTGCCAATTATCTACAGAACACATGTGGATCAGTGAGGTAGCAACTGTAAAAGTGATGAGAGAGGCTTGGATGAAAGCACAGGTGTGTGTGAAATCAGACTATTAGTGTGTTTATAGCTGACCTTGGATATAAGGTCTGGCCTATGGATTTATGGACAGGTTTTCACAGATGTCACAAGAAGTCAGTCAGTGTGGCTATCTCAGTGTCCATCTCACATAACTCATCCCAACTAGTGAAAAAAAAACTTGAGGAACCTTCCAGCATTATAAATGAACTGAATCTTGACCTTAGTTTTGGAAATTCTCTAGAATCTAATCAGTTCAGGAGAGATGACGCCCTGGCTCAGGTCAAGAATTCTGTGGGGCAATAATTGGAACTTTACTGGGCATTGGAAATAAATTCTCACAGTAATCACGGAGAAACCATACTTTTGTGAATGCTCAATCACGCATTCACATCAAGGGGCAACACCATCACGTTCATTCACACCAGAGACTGGTTGTGGGATCTGGGGCATTCTTGAAATGGGAAATTTCTAATCCAGCACTAAACTTCTTTTCCACAAGGCTTCTGGGATATCAATTTTCATTCACAAGGAAAAACAAACAAGACAATAATGACAGTATTTTAAATTTTAGAATATTTGTTTCCTAGATAAGGGATATATGAACCTTAAAACTGGTTAACTTGAAAGCTTTAAATTGATTCGCTTGGTTACCCTTCAGTGTTCTTCAGTTATGTTTTTTTGATGTATACTTCACTTCCTGCAATGGCCAGCAGGATATCACAGTTAAAAAGAGTCTGGCCTGCAACTGCAAACCTTTGGCTTCATAGCACATGGCATTCTGGTTTTAACAGAGAATAATAAGTTCAAAGTCTGACAGATTTTTTAGATGGATGAAAATATATGATGACAGGTGGTCAAAATTTCCCTGTTTAACTGCAGACAAGGACCATTCTGAGGAGGTGGAGAAGAGAAGGGTGGATATTTGAAAAGAACATGGTGTCTGATTACAGAAAAATCAGAGCACCACAAGTTACCCTTATCCCATCTGGATTCTTTGAAGGTACATATAAAAAAATTCAGAATTCCCAAGATTATCTTTTTTACAAATTCCATAAGCAGCACAACTCCTTCCAAACTTTGAACAGTTTTGGAAACTATGGATCTTATTCGATTACTTAAGAGTGTTGAACACATAGTGATTTTTACAAGGGGACTTATACCTAACAGCTAGGACATTACTGAAGTACATTTGGTTTAGTGAAACTAAATTTGTCTTTAATAAAAGGGAGGCCATTCAAAAAAGGCCGTCCAGAGACTCCCTGTCAACTCTGTTGATGGGAAAACATTTATATTTTTAATTTAAGAATCATAAGAATATATAGACACCTTGTATCAAAATCATTTTCCATGTGATTACTGAAAAGATTGGATAACTCTGGACTCATTGATAAAGGTCAAATGTCATCACTTAAAAATATATTTTAACAAAAATGTAACTAAGCCAAACCAGTCCCTGGGTTAAAAAAGACTCACCCTGTCAAGTCAGCTATATGACCACTGTCTCATAAAAGAACTGGGTGAGAGGGCTGAGCTTCCTCTTTCACATGAGTGCCAATGCCTGCTTCACCAATGTAACAAAACACACTTTTAAAAACTCTGGATTTCAAGTCTAATTGTTTAAGTAACTAATTTAAAAAATCAGTAGGAACGAAAAAAAGATTCCATCTTCCTGTAGTTCTCCAGATGATTCGAGAACAATCAATATTCACAATTTCACTTGTTTTTGTTTTTTAAACAAGCAATTAGAGAAATTTAAGATCTGCATTTTCAGTTTCCAAGAAATTTGCTATGCAGCTAAATCTTATTTTTTTAAAATTGTTGTCCAAGGAAGAGTAACCCCCAGATGATACAAGCAAAGAGCCCAGCACTTCAACCTGAATTAACAAGAATACACTGTTACCAATGGTTACCTAAACCAGAAGTAATCTATAGCTCTTAAATCAGTTCAAAATTCTGACCATACATGGCCTTGGATATAAGTCTGATTCAAATCAAGGGGTCAAACTGCATTCTCTGGGGAGATGTCTCATTGCTCAGGTAAGGGTCATTCCAAACAGGTCATGAAGGAAGTGATTACATTTAAAGAAAACAACCTGCTGTTGCTTCATCTGTTTTGCTTGGTGCAATCTCCAGGTTTAATCATGGTCTCGCAGAGATCCCTGCACCACTTAAATTACTGCATGAATTGATCATTAGTTAAGAACATGAAAAACTGTGAGAGCCTCCTGTTTTTAACCATGGAAAGCAAACCAAATCCATTGACAGAAATAATAGAGCTTTCCCCCAATCCAGAGTTGCAATCATTTTCCCAGGAATAAAGCTGGATACTAAAGAAAAGAGAAAGAATCTATTTCTTGAATTGAAATTCTCAACTATCATTATTTTTCTTTCCTAATCACTTTTTAGAGAATGGAATGGCAATCTATTCCAGTATTCTTGCCTGGAGAATCCCATGAACTGAGGATCTGGTGGGCTACAGTCCATAGGGTCGCACAGAGTCGAACACAACTGAAGCAACGTAGCATGGCATAGCATGGCAATCACCTTTTGGGGCCAAGCTACTTCTCATCGACAACATCCCCTTCTTCTCCTCACCACTGAACACCCTTCAACAACTTTTCTGTGAAACTTAGGAAAAAACAAAGTACTAAGGATAAGCCTTGACTATTAATGTGAACAATTCCTCTCAAATCATGAGTGGACAAGAGTAAAAGTAACAAATGAACTACACTTTTCCATAAAAATAAAGCCAAAGCCTTCACTGTCTTGTCAAAAAGTTATTAAAAAAATACTGTAACAAAAAGCAACACAGATATTGCTTTATACCACTGCACACTACAAGTCAGCATTAACCTTCTTCTTAAAGGCCGTCAGTACTCATGCATAGATCTACTTGCTACCACCTTCAGATAATGCCAAAGGTGGGAGGGAAAGGAAAAACCACCAGGAAACTAATGAACAGGTTCATCCTTCCCATGCCTTCCTATTCAAGAGCTTGGCACATATGTGCTGCTCACTCATATCCTGTGGTTCTTCCAATGCTACGGACAATGGGGTGAACCAAGGACAGAAGAGGAAGGAAGAACAAGGGTGTTAAAGGTTTAGGTGGGAAACTTCTGGCTTTTAGTAGTCTGTATAATGTCATAGATGCTAACCAAATACAGTTATTTGCAGAGAGTATTCATGAGAATGGGAGATGGACAAGGATTCTAAATCAGTAAGGAAAATGTCAATGATTTTCAATTACTGGAATAAAAGGTATAATTCAATGAGTCTAATAAAAACAGATTTCCCAGCTAATGTATATATTAAGGTCAAAGAGGGGAAAAAGTGGGTGCAACAGCATTAATGGAGTACTCATTTATATCAGGAAGTACATTCAGGGTTTTATTATGTGATTTCATTGACCATTAACCAAATACTTTCCAGTGAGACTTAACAAATTTCAAGAACTACAAGATTAACATAAAAAACTTGTAGCATATGAATATTTTAATATTATATCAATCTATTCCTCCATCACCAACAAGCAGGTTTGAACCTCAATCATTCCTCTTTGCCATTATAAATCGAGTGACAGATTAACAGACATATCACTGTATTTAATTTACATGTCAAATATGAAATCCTACCGCCTATGCCAAATCAATACTTTAACATATTTATAAAATCTTCACTATGTAAAGTAAAAAGTGGGTAATGTCCAGGATTTTCAGCTATAGAAAACTTGCCCTGAATCTGCAACTTCTGAAGACAAAATACTGTCACTGAGGCTAATGTCACTTGAAGTTTCCACAGATTTTTTGTTCCAAAAGAGATGAAAAGCAAAATTAAGTTCTGGAAAATAAAAGTTCATAAAGAAATAGAAAACACTTCCATTGCTCTTTTCAGTCCCCTCAACTCAAACAGAAGGGTTTCTTCCAATGCCTTAGGACTACGTATACATTACTGAATCACGACTGCCACTTCATTTACGGGGTTAAAACCCGGTATCATCTGCGGCATAACCTAAAAGAGAAAGGGAAATATTTACCAAATTACCTGCTACTGCTGTTATTCTTCTTGGATTTGCTCCTCCGTTTTAAGGCATCTCTGTCCTTGTTATTGTATGGTAACATGGAGGCATAACCATGTTCAGCTTCTAGAAAACCGGAGGATCCAGTTAATAAATGAACCCAGAACAGTCAACACTCTCTCCCCTTCACAATATTTCCTTTTAAAAATGGATTTATTTTTCATTAAAAGAAGACTGTGGAAATAATTAAAAGGAGCACGGTGGAATTCTTAGAACAATGATTGTTTTTTTAATTGAGTGAATACCCTCAGTTCGGAGCAGGTGTAAGGAGCATTCCAGCTGCTCATTGTTGAGAAAGACACAGCAAGTCTCATGGAGCCTGGGTTTCCCATTGGCAACGTCCAGCAGGTTGGTGTATATTAAGTGGGACCGGCCTCAGACGAAGGTGCGGGGCCAGACACCGGGAGCCAGAGCCGAGGACGGAGGATGCGGGGCAAGGGAGGCGCTGCTCCGCCGACTGGGAGACCCGGCGCCAGGCCCACTTGGGGGCGGACCGGGAAGAGCGGGGTGAGGTAAACCAAGCGCTTGGCTGAAGGGGCCCCGGGCACCCCACTCGCGACGGGATGCGGAGGGGGAAGCGCTCAGGATCCCGGGAGCAGCGGTCCCTTTCCACTCCCATTCATTGACTTTGGGGCAGCGACGGCCTCCCTTCGGACCGCGCGTGGGGAAAGCTGGAGGGGTTGGGAGCGCTCGCGGGTCGCGCTCTCAGCTCCTCCAACCACCCCCGGAGCGGCTGGGCGCCTGGATCCGCTGCCAGGCCCGTCAGAGCTCCCGGCACTAGCTCAGGCTGGACCCCTCCCGTCCCCGTGCACCTCTCTCCCGTCGTTCCAGGTAGTCGGCCGCCTCCAGCAGCATCTGGATGTTCATCCGAACCGCCGCCGCCATTCTGCACAGGGGGCCGGAGCCACGGGACCAACCCCCACTGGACACAGGCTCGCCGCCGCCGCCGGACACCCGCGCCCCGCTGTGGACCCCGCAGAGCAGGGCTGAGAGAGCCTCTCTGGCGACCACGCTCGCCGGAAGGGGGAGGGGACCGGCGAGCTGGGCACCACCGACACCGTGACAGAACCTACAGAAGAGCAGCAGCCGCCACCGCCGCGGAGTGTTTATCCCCGACTCACCGTTCCCCCGCCCCCAGGCCCTTCTCTTGACAGGCCCACTTCGGCTGCATTCCTCATTGGGCGCCCTAAAGAATTCCCCGCCCCTGGACCTGTCCTATTGGGGGAAGGCACTACGGCCCCATCCCTCAGAGTCCGCTCCTCTCCCTGGTTGGTCACGCTTGACAAGGCCCGGGCTCCACCTCCTCTTTCCAATTGGTGACAGGATTCTCAACTCCGCCTCGTGCTCCTTCCCTGTTTTCCATTGGTTCTATATGGACAACCGGGCCCCCTTTTGCTTTGTTAGTATTGGCCAAGAGCTACAGAAAGCAAGCCACTTTGCCTGTCTCCCATTGGTGGAACCTTCCGACACCGCCCAGCTACGATGACGTCATCTGTGCCCTGGCTAGCGATCCCTGAATGGCTGGTGGTTAGACGCCGGGCTATTCCTACCCGAATCTGGCATTGGATCGCAGGGCTGACCCGGGCACCAGCAGCGCTGATTCACCGACCCCGCCTCGGACCTGTTGCCGGAACCTGTCTCCGGGTAAAAGTTCCGGGGATCTGCTGGACGTCACTAGAGTGGAAGCTGGCACCGCGCTTTACCTGGGCGCTCTGCCCTGCTCGGGTTCGGGGCCAGATCCCCTGGCCTGCTAGCTGCGGCCCGGAGGTTCCAGGCTTTCCGCGACCGAAGGCCCCGCCGACAGCCCGGTAGGGCGGTGGGCCTGGGGCTCCGGCTAGCGCCACGTGGCTGTAGCACTCGGCGGGGGAGACTGTCTCGTGTTCAGTGCTCGCCACCCAGCGTTTTTCTCTCTCTCCCCAGAAAGCACTGGAATCGTGAGGCTGTACACCCCGCCCTAAGCGCTGGCCAATTACTCCCTCATGCGAGTGTATTTTAACAGCTCACAAACTTCCTGTACCTGCAGACTGACGCCGAATTCTGAGATTTGTTTGACATCTCTTTCAGAGTCTTTCCTTCCCTTTTAATTCTAGAGGAAAACATTCAAAAAGAATACTTCCTATTCAAGACGGCTGTAAATGATGTTTTTGTGTGTGTGGTACCACTATAAATGTACGTAGAACAGAACTAAAATTTTTAAGAATTGTTCCTTAAGCTATCTGAGACCCAAGTTAACGCTGTTAATATACTGAGAGCTCCATTTTAAAAAACTGAAATAAAACTCTTGGTAAATTGAGACTCCTGAATATAGAAATGAGTAAAGCATGAACATATTTAACAAAGCTTTTAAGAAGTTTATTGTTGCCAATATGTGAAAACAATAGCTTGTCAGGTAATTTACCTATATTATTGCTAATCCTCAATATAACCCCATTAGATAGGTTAATTATCTACATTTTGCACATAAGGAAACTGATGCCCAGAGAAGCTAAATGACTTTCTTAGACATCCATTCAGCCAGAAATGGAAACTGAACCTAGATCTGTTTCACCCAAAGCCCATACTATAGGTGATAGTTTTTCTAAAAAACAGGAATTAAGAACTGGATCTCCATGAGTCACAAACACTGACAAACACGGGGGAAAGAAAGAAAAACATGTAATTATTATGGTAAGTTTTAAATATGTCTTTTCTAATGGTTGATAAATCCATTAAACTCAAAAGAAGAAGAATAAATAGAGTAACCCAGTCCTGACATATAGAACACATATTTTCTGGTTTTAATGGTTAATTGGATCTAAAAGCTGATTCTTTACAGCAATTAATAAATACACTGAAGATAAAAGTTTTCAAAAAAGCACAAAGAGCTAGAATTGGGGATATAAGTTTATAAAAATTATAAAGATATAATTTTTAACTGCACATTGTTTGTAAAACAAATCTGAAAATAGTAATGAATATAGTTTTTACTGATAGTAAAAACACTGATTTCATTCTTCATTTTGGATTCTGTATATTTCTATATTTTCTCTTTGATTTTATTATGAACATCTAGCATCTCTTTATTCTTTCTCTTACCCTCAGCTCTTTTTTTTAAAAAACCCAGTCTTATTTCAAAATCATGATCCTTCCCCTGGAATTAGCCTGATTGAAAATCACACTTATAAAATTAAAAAAGGAAAAATGGTTGAAATCTGAGTCAGATATAGCAAAGGAACCATTTAAACACCGACAAGTTTTGCTTAAATTCCAAACAAAAATAAATTACATAATATATAAAATCAGAGAATTAAGACTAAGGAATGGACCTCTTTCTGTTCCCTGGCAGCAGAGGAAGAAATCAGTAAGCCAGTAACACCAACTAGGAAATTAGTTAGTATCATGAAGAACTCCAAATGGTGTCTGATGCCACCTACTGGACATCAAGCAGGAAGTATAAAACAAAGGGTTTTTTCTTGTTTTTCTAGCAATTATTTTATACAAATATATTACAATGACCAGTTAGATAATCTGAAAGTATAGATTTTGAAGAACTGAAATCCTTAAATGAAGAAGTGATTACCCCCAGCATCTAGCACTTCAAAGGCATTACACAAGCACTAACAGATGGAGAGGCAAAACCCTCAGAATAAGAACTTGCAATTCCAGAATGTTTTAACCTAAATTTTATGACCAGAATTTTAAGTAAAAAGCTATATGAAATAGGATAAACATAGGCTGACAACAGTTTACATCCTTGAGCAGGTATTAAGCTAAACTGGCAGAACTGGAAACTAAAAATATATTGAAAATGGGAAGCACAAAAGATTGTATTTGTCAAATAATCTTTACTGTATTTTTTTAAAAAGCCCTAGTTTCCTTCCTCTGAGGGGTTTATACTCTAGGTGGGCAAGGGACAGTATGTAAATACCAGTGCTGAATGGCAGGTTTATTAAATGCAGTGGAACTTCTGACACAGGTGCATTTCAGTTGAGTACCTCAGAGTGCAGAGAAGACAACTGTTGGTATTCTAATCCTTTAACTGTCTAAAAAGTTCCAGAACTGCTGAATGCTGAATTCATTATAATGTTAATGACATTAAAATGAATTTTGTTTTCTAAGTTTCTGAGGAACTGATTTTATTCTTCGAAGTCTAAAAATCAGGACTGTGATTTACTGTCTTAGTATTAATCCCTTTCTTTGTGGCTACCTGGGACACTCTAACATAATGATATACAGTATCATAAAATTAAAATTTAAAAACCTTTAAAAACACTGATCTGCAAAAGTTAATTACTCCACAAATATTTGATACTTTTAAAAACAGAGCAATGGCTAAACGGGTACACACATTACACAGAACACTAAGTTAAAAAAAAAAAAAAGATGAGTATATATATATATATATAGGCAAGGAAACATCTCCAAGGCAGTGCTGAGTAAATACCTGAGTTATAAGATGATCCCTGTAGCATATTATCTGTGTAAAAAAAAACAAGAAACAAACCAAACACCTCAAACTAGGCTTTCCCCCTCATTTCTAACACTAAATCTGCTACATACATATATATATAATATATATATATATATATATACAAGCATGCACGTCTGGAAGGAAACACTACAAAGGATTCACAGTGAATCAGGACTGCTCAGAAGGGATTAAGCAGTCATGTTTTAAAATTTTTGTAGGAAAAATGTGTTCATTTAAGAGTTGGATAACTAAAGGTTAACTTAAAAACTTAGGGAAGTGGAATGAAGTTTAAGTCAGAAAGAGGAAGAGAAATATCACATATCACATATGTGGAATCTAAAAATAAATGGTACAAATGAACCTATTTAAAAAACAAAAATAGAGTCACAGATGCAGAAAACAAACTTACCAAGAGGAAAAGGGGGGGAGGGATAAATTGGGGGACTGGTATTGACGAATTCATACTACTATATATAAAATAGATATGAACCTCCTGTATAGCACAAGGGACTCTACTCAGTACTCCATAATGACCTATATGGGAAAAGAATCTTAAAGAGTGGATATATGTATAACTGATACACTTTGCTGAAGAGCAGAAACTAATACAACATTGTAAATCAACTATACTCCAATAAAAATTAAAAAAAAAACCACTAAGAGAAGTCCTTAAGTGAAGAAATGTTACTAGATTACATTCAGGTACAGGTATTCGTTGAGTGCTCTACTGGTTGCCAGGCACTTGTGGTGCTGGGGCTGCAGCAGCTAACAAGACAGAAACCCTGCTTCTGAAAGGTCAGAGACAGTAATACAGAGTATGTCAGGCACTGATAAACTATAAGGAAAAGGAAACTGCAGAGGATGTGGAGAAACTGGAACCCTCACAAATTGCTAGTGGGAATATAAAATAGTGCAGTTGCTTTGGAAAACAGACAGTGCTTCAAAAAGTTAAACATGGGAGTTTAACTATATAACCAGTAATAGCACTCCTAGCTATATACCCAAGAGAACTGAAAATATTTGTTCATACAAAACCTGGATACAAATGTCCATAGTAGCATTATTCATAATAGCCAAGAAAGTGGAATAACCCAAATTCCCATCAACTGATGAATTATAAGTTACAATGTGACATGTGGGGGCTTCCCAGGTGGCACAGTGGTAAAGAACTCACCTACCAATGCTGGAGACAGAATTGGGTTTGATCCCTGGGTCTGGATGATCCCCTGGAGAAGGAAATGGCTACCCAATCCAGTAGTCTTGTCTGGGAAATTCTACTGACAAGGAGCCTGGCTGGCTACATCCATGGGGTTGCAAAGGGTCGGACATGACTGAGCATGCACACACGCATGCACACACATCCACAGAACAGAGTATTATAAACTATAAAAAAGGGATGTATGTGTGCTAAGTCCTTTCAGTCATGTCTGGCTCTGTGCAACCCTATGGACTGTAGCCTGCCAGGCTCCTCTGTCCGTGGGATTCTCCAGGCAAGAATCCTGGAGTGGGTTGCCATTTCCCCCTCCAGGGGATCTTCCCAACCCAGAGATTGAACCCAAGTCTGTCTTCTGCATTGGCAGGAGGGTTCTTTACCACTGAGCCACCTGGGAAGCCCTTTAAGTACTGTTTATGATACAAGATGAATGAATCTGGAAAACACTGCTATGCAAAAGAAGCTAGACACAAAATGTCACATATTGTGTGATTCCATCCATTTGAAATGTCCATTTACATGAAAATGTCCAGAATAGATACACCTTTAAAGACAAAGTACATTTAGCGGTTTCTGGGGTGGAGGGTAAGATGGATGGGGAGGGATGAGAAGCAGCTGTTAATGAGCATGGAGTTCCTTTTGGGGATGATGAAAATATTTTAGAATTACTGGCAATAAATACATAACTCTGTCAATATACTAAAACCACTGACTGGTATACTTTTATTTATTTCTGGCCATGCCACATGGGGCCTGTGGGATCTTAGTTCCTGCAAGTTAGTGCAGAGTCCTCATCACTGGACCGCCAGGGAAGTCTCTGAAATGATATACTTTAATAGGTTGAATTTTATTTCAATTTTAAAAAAGCTAAAAAGTAAAAATAAAAATAAAATAAAATAAAAAAGCTAAATAAAAAAGAGTAAAACAGGGTAAAAGGATAGAGAGGGAAGGGGAGGCTGCTGTTTTGGACAAGGTAGTCAGGAATGACCTTATTTTAAGCAGTGACCTGAACAATATAAAGAAGCTAACCATGTAAATCTGAGAGGTGGGAGGAGGGAGAGGAGGGACATTCCAGGAGGAAAGGCAAGTAGGAAGACTCTTAAGGTAGATGCATATCTATTTTTTTTTTTTTTTGCATATCTATTTTTAAGGAACAGCAAAAAGGCAAGTAGTGTGGCTGCATGCAGTAGCAAGGGGTGAGGCTGCAGGAAGCCACAGTCCAAACTATACAGATGTGTTGACCCACAGTAAGGACTGGTCTTCACTCTAAATGATAGAAAGCCATCAGAGCCAGAAGCAATGACCAGATGTACATTTATAAGGTTCACTCTGCTGCTAGGTAGGGAATAAACTGAGGCAGAAGGGAAGGAAGGAAATCTATTAGAGATGGCTTCTGTTAGTATAGGTGGGTGAAAAATGGTCAGATTTGATGTACATCTAATCACCACAATATACACTTTAAATATCTTAAACTTGCATTTGTCAATTATATCCCAATAAATATGGGGGGGAAAAGTGGTTTGATTCAAAATATACTCTCTTAGAGCTGAAGGGATTTCTAATGAATCAAATGTGCCGCACAGAAGAAAGAGAGGAGCGAAGGATGAGCCTAGGGAGTTTCACTCTGTGCAAAGGTGTAAATGGAGAGTTCACTCACTGAGATGGGGAAGCCTGAGAGAAGATGACTGGGCAGGGAAATGAGAAGTCAATTCATCTTAAATTTGAGGTGCCTACTAATCCAAGTGCATGTACAAGACTGGAATTCAGTGAAACAGTAAGGCCAGAAGTATACAATGGAGAGCCACGGCAGAAGACATTTGACGCTTTGTGAAGGGATAACTCACCAGAGGCAGACAGGAGAGTCTAGGGGTTGGGCCCTGGAGCACTCTGACATTTGGATACTTAGAAGATTTGGCAGAATTTATGTCTTCTGAGAGGAGCAGCCTGTTAGAAGAAGACAAGAATGCTCCATCTTTGTTATTCTTACAGAATCAGATGATCTGATGGATAAAAGTTCCTTCCAAGCAAGACTTGATCTCATCTCTAGATCTTTAAAGATTTCTTCCTCTTCCATTTCTTTGGTGTTAGCTCACAGAGAGTGAACCTATTGCTCTACTAGGTATTCTCAGATTATTTCTTTACAAAGTATGCTGCCTTGAGGATCTCAAGTTAGCGTGCTGAAATGACAATCATACCGAACACCACACTAAAATGACAATCTAAATACCCATTGTTTGATTTGGAGTATATTATTTCATTCCAGAAATTTTAGCTTCCCAATAAGACAACTGGGTGTGCTTTTCTTTAGATGTGCACAAATGTGGTCAGAAACAGTCCTTATCACAGATACTTTACAGATAGGCTGTATTTTGGATGGTCAGGATATGGGAATCTACTCATTTGGCAAAAAGTCTAAGCAAAATAACCCAACTGCTTGGGGTAGTGACACTTGTGCAGTGGGTACTACAGGCTGTACAGCTGATGTAGCGCATTTAACGAATTATAATTGCTACCCTTAAAAAAAGAGGCAATAAGGTTTCCCTGATGGCTCAGTGGAAGAGAATCCACCTGCCAATGACAGAGACACAGTTTGATCCCTGATCTGAGAAGATCCCATGTGCCGTGGAGCAGATAAGCCTGTGCACCACAACTATTGAGCCTGTGCTCTGGAGCCCCAGAGGCACAACTGCTGAAGCCTGTGCGCCACAAGAGAAGCCACTGCAGTGAGAAGCCCATGCACCACAACTACAGGGTAGCCCCCACTCTCCGCACCTAGAGAAAAGCCTGCAGAGCAACAAAGACCCAGCCCAGCCAAAAATAAAACAAATAAAATCATTAGAAAAGGAGTTGGGGATGGACAAGGAAGCCTGGCGAACTGCAGTCCACGGGGTCGCAGAGTCAGATACGACTGAGTGACTGAGCTGAACTGAATATTACCTACTCTGATAAGAAACAATCTTAAGACGTGGTAGTAAGTGAAAAAATAGGTGCAAAATCGAGTGTAAAGTTTGCTTAAATTTGAGTAATAAAAGACACATATACATATAAATTATATGCTTATGTATTCATGGAATATCTCCAAAAGGATACAGTTAGCTCATCATATTGTGTTCCATGTGTTTATATTGGTTACTCAACACCCAGCACCCCCCCAAATTAAAAATCTAGCCACAAAGCCTCAAATATCAGTGAGACAGGAAACAGAATAGGTAATGGTCATTAGAAAAGGAGACTCCTTCAAATAAGAAAAAGAAAAGCTTGCTGAAAGATAAATGGAGCCAAGGTTTGAAATTAGTATTTCACAAAAGAAATATACATGGCTAATACATTCTAAAAACATACATCTTCCTTAGAAGCTAAACAAAACCAAATACCATTATTTTAACCATCAGACTGGAAGCTTAAAAAAAGAAAAAACACTCAATATTGGTACACGTATACAAAACAGGAATGCTCATACTTTACTGGTGATGCTTAGGTATTAGCCTTCTAACCACACATGTATCAAAAGCCTAAGCATGCACATCAAGGGTAAAGCATGCACCTTTCTCTCACCCAGCAATGCCACCTCCAAGAACTAAACAGGAGCAAATAAGGCAACAAGTACAAAAAGATACATGCAACAGGGATACTACTTCATGGGTGTTGTGTTTTGCTTTTTTTCCCCTTACTCCTAAATAATCTACTCATAGCTTTAATTATAACAGCAAATCTTGGAAGGGAAGCCAATGTTCACCAATAAAAGATTAGTTAATGAATTACAGTATAAACAAGTAGCCACTAAAACCTAAGTTTCCAAAGAATTTATAAGAGCATTTAACAAATGTTCACACTACATGGGAGAAAAAGGATCAGCAAAGAAAGCAGCATCCGATCTCTTTGGCTAGGGGCAAGAAATAAACACCCATAGGAGCCTGGAAATATAAATACCAAAATGTTAACATTCTGGGGGTAGATTATAGGTGATTTTTGGTTTTTCCCCCTACCTTCTGATTTCTCCCAAGGTGTTTTTTATTTAGATGAGAATACCAGACCACCTGACCTGCCTCTTGAGAAACCTGTATGCAGGTCAGGAAGCAACCGTTAGAACTAGATATGGAACAACAGACTGGTTCCAAATCGGAAAAGGAGTATGTCAAGGCTGTATATTGTCATCCTGCTTATTTAACTTATATGCAGAGTACATCACGAGAAACACTGGGCTGGAAGAAGCACAAGCTGGAATCAAGAGTGCCGGGAGAAATATCAATAACCTCAGATATGCAGATGACACCACCCTTATGGCAGAAAGTGAAGAACTAAAGAGCCTCTTGATGAAAGTGAAAGAGGAGAGTGAAAAAGTTTGCTTAAAGCTCAGCATTCAGAAAACTAAGATCATGGCATCCGCTCCCATCACTTCGTGGCGAATAGATGGGTAAATAGTGGAAATAGTGGCTGACTTTATTTTTGGGGGCCCCAAAATCACTGCAGATGGTGATTGCAGCCATGAAATTAAAAGACGCTTACTCCTTGGAAGGAAAGTTATGACCAACCTAGACAGCATATGAAAAAGCAGACATTACTTTGTCAACAAAGGTCCATCTAGTCAAGGTTATGGTTTTTCCAGTGGTCATGTATGGATGTGAGAGTTGGACTATAAAGAAGGCTGAGCATCGACAAATTGATGCTTTTGAACTGTGGTGTAGAAGACTCTTGAGAGTCCCTTGGACTGCTAGGATATCCAACCAGTCCATCCTAAAGGAGATCAGTCCTGGTTGTTCACTGGAAGGACTGATGTTGAAGCTGAAATTTCAATACTTTGGCCACCTGATGCGAAGAGCTGACTCATTTGAAAAGACCTTGATGTTGGGAAAGATTGAGGGCAGGAGGAGAAGGGGACGACAGAGGATGAGATGGTTGGCTCGCATCACCAACTCAATGGACGTGAGTTTGGGTAAATTTCGGGAGTTGGTGATAGGGAGGCCTGGCGTGCTGCGGTCCATAGGGTCGCAAAGAGTCAGACACGACTGAGTGACTGAACTGAACTGAATAAGCATGTATTGCTTTTCAACTGGGGAAATATGGTATTGGGGCAGGGGGCAAAAAACACAGAAGACACAAAAAATCCAGTTATATTTTTTTTCAATATTCTAATTTTTAAACCTATGAAGAATCATGATATCTAAATCTATGTATGAAAAAAGAAAATGTGTAGGGAGATTCTTTTTTTCTAGTTATAAAAATGTCAAATACGAAAGGGTAGAAATTATTGCTTTATTTGAGAAACTTACTTCCAAATCACTTTTATGTATTTTAAAAAGTCATAAAGAACATCCAAGAGAAAAACATATACAGTTTCCATAGGAATAAGGACAAAAAAATGGGGTTGATGACTGCCCCAAATGATATTTCCTAAAGGAAAAAAATGTAATATTTAACTTTTTTTCTTGAGGCAGGGTAAGTGAACTACACACATCATAAATAAAATTTTCTTACTTTACAAGGAGGAAGGACTGTGATCCTGTTTTTGATGCATATTAAATACAAAAATCCACTGTTCTTAAGATGAGGGAAAAAACATCATTCTTCAACAATTCAGCTCATGCAATGAAATCCAAAGGTCTGTTGAATCCACCTTTTCGATTCATGTACTGCCTACGATGAGAAAATTTATTTATTAAAAAAATTGTGGGTTTGTTTTATAAAAGAAATAATCATATGCTTCAGAAGTTAAAACTATAAACTATTTCTAAAATGGCAACATCTAGGGCAATAAGTATTCAAAGTCAAAATCTAAACAAAAGTATGGAAATATATTTCAGTATTATTTGGGAAGATTCTACAGACTTAAAAAAAAATCAATTGAAAATCCATATTTAAGTAACACTAAACAACTACCAAGTTTAAGGAAAACAGAGAAGAGTTTCAAATGGGTACCTATCAAGCAAATCTGATTACACACTGTACTAGTTTTCCCCATAAGACCTTATTTGAAGGTAATTTTACAGTGGATTGTTGATTCTAGTATTTTAACTCACAGCAGTCTCAAATCACATTATTCATATTCCTAAATTAACTGAAGTATTAGTCTAAATTAACTGAAGTGATAAATGTAGAGAAAAAGACAATGTTTGAAGATGTCTTGACTTTCCTGATCAAGGGCTGAGATTTCAAGTATGGATTGGTTTGTTTTGTGGTGTTAATAAAATATGCCTATACTTAACAGAAAGGTATTTATAGTTGAAATCCTTACATAATCAATTTAGATAGATAATTCAGGAGGAATCTATTTTAAAACCTATAATTTTAATGAAATTAAAGTCTAAAGACTTGAGATTATGCTATTTTGAAGGAAGAACTACTTATAATCTAAAATATTTAAGCCAACTAACCTTTCTCTGTAATAGTTTCTGGTTCACAGGTAAATTTAAAATTATTTTAACATACAACAATATAAACAAGGAAGATTAAATCAAGGAAAAATATGGAAACCTCACTAAAGTAAGGGATTGTATAGAAAACAGCTACATTTCCTACAAACATGATTATCCTGAAACCAATTCTTTCCCGAGCATATAATTAAATTAATATAATTTAATAATATAATTATAATATAATATTCAAACGTAATAATGGCAGCTCTACATACCTATACTTTCTCTTCTGAGACACATTTATGGCATAGGCGTTTACAGAGCCATCCACCTTTTTCCCCTGGAGAAAAGCAAGAAACAAAAACCAAAACACAGACACAAACAAACAACACACAAGAGAAAGAATATAGTTAATGACTTGATCAAAGAGCTGGATTCCACAGACCTCTTTAATGGCAAGATTTCATTTAAGCATGACGTAGTCCAATGACTGAAAGAATTTTCAGATCCTGATGATATCCCAGGAACTTCCAAGTGTTATAACTCTGTTCACATTTTTAGTCACATATAAGCAAATACCAATATTCAAACCAACAAACACTCATATGTATTATGTGCAAGGCATGCAGGGAAAGTAGGTAGCAGAGCCTCACCTTTTCTGGTCAGAGCATTCTTCAAAACCAAATATAAGTTATGGGTATCTCCTCTAGAAAAATTCATAGTCACAAAAATTTAACTTATGACCTGAACTGATGGGATTCTCAAATCAGTCACCATTCGTATATAATCCCATTTCTTGCATAGGCTTTGAAATTTTGATTTTTAAATCAAGAATCAGGGTAACAGGTACTAATGTTGTATCACTTGTATCTCAGACTTTCTTTTTCATTAATTCCTTTATGGGTCTTCTGATTCAGCAAAATGAACTCACCACTTTCTGTTCCTCATGCCTAAACTGCCTTCTTAACTCCCATCCAATCTTCAACCGTCTGGTTCTTGTGCATTCTTCAAGGCCCACGTCAAATGATCCAGCTGCTAGGAAGAGCTCTCATCTCTAACTCCCACAGAATGTTAACTGTGCTTTCCTAACAATTCCCTCATTTTCTACCCTCCATTTATCATGATGTCTAATCATGATGGTAACATCTACAGGATCACCATGTGTAACATCACACTGTTGTTGTTTAGTCACTAAGTCACATCCGACCCTTTGCAACCCCATGGACTATAGTCTGCCAGGTTCCTTTGTCCACAGGATTTCCCAGGCAAGCATACTGGAGTGGGTTGCCATTTCCTTCTCCAGGGGATCTGCCCCACCCAGGGATCAAACTCAAGTCTCCTGCATTTAGCAGGCTGATTCTTTACCACTGAGGCACCAGGAAAGTCCATTAATCTTTTTTACTAAGTTCAATTACTGAAGGCTAACTGATTTTTGAAAATTATTTGTAGAGTTGTATATTTTCAGCTCTTTTTTTTTTTTTAGCTCTCTTTTCATGTTGGAATAGAAAATTTGTCCATAAATAAACAAAACCAACTTTGAAATTTTTTAGAATGTTAAAATAGAAGGGAAAATAAGTGACTAATTTGGCATTTGAAGAGGTTCCACCATAGAATGATGATGAAATATTACAAGATACACATTACTAAAAAATACAAATGAGCTGAGAAACTATAACTGACAGTCCTGAAGCCAACTGCGTATGAATTAACATCCTTGTCGATGTCATTAAAAAAAAAACTGACATCATTTGTTCTTGTGGTACTCCATAGTTTTTATGGAATCTGTAAATTCTCACCTAATTTTTCCTTTATAAACAACCATCTTCAGCACAGACTACATTTAGAAGTAATGGCTCCATCTTTACATCTGATTCTCAAGAATTCTAAACATAATGTCAGGCAATAGTAAAACCAAAAAAACCCACAAAAAACCAGGAATTCTAATAAGGTCCTTCACTATTCTTCTAAAAACAGTGAAATTTAGTTGTCTCATTTTGAAAATATTTTTATTCATCCAATATACGTATTAATAAACCAGTTTACTTACAAAACCCTCATTGGAATAGCAAACAAGGAACTGGTATAGTCAAGAAAAAAACCTGATAGAGAAATTGCATTAAATTTTAAAATGGGGTTCACATAACCATTTGTGAGAATCAAAAAGCTCAGTCTTAATTTTCTCACCTCAAAACAGTCATGCCTCTGGTACTCCTCTTAGGCCACACACTGTCATTTAAAAAATACATGGGAATCCTACAGAATAACATTAGTTATATGCTCTTAGAGCATCTGCGATTACCCCACTCCATTCATGACATAATGGAACACAAGATTAGGGGAAGTGGATTACTTTTGACACCCCTCCTCAGAGACTGCAACTTCTACTTGCAAAATGAAAAGGACTTAAAATTCTATAAAGAAAGTTTTAAAAATATATTTTCTCTCCACACACACTCTCCTTGTCTATTCTTAATAGCTTCCTCTCTCTCTCCTCCCTTCTCTCTTCATTCAATTTCCTCTCTCCCTCCATCTCCCCTTTGCTCTATTTCTCTCTACCCCACCTCCCACTCCACAACCCTTTGCTCTTTTGCCTCCCCACCTCCTTATTCTTCTCAATATGATGGTCAGGGCTAGAGAGCATTCAAATTCCTGTCAATCCCTCTTTTTGAGTTATGAGATATGTATGCAGCTTGCAACGCTATCTTTATCTGGCAGCTGCTTTTCATTCTGTTTCATAGCACTTCCCTTTCCTACAATCCTTTCTTTGGTTAACCCTATCAGCCTGACACCTCAGAGTCATCACTGACTACTCACCTCCATTCCCACCACCACTAACTCTTGCTTCTGAATTGTTCTCAGTATTCCAGCCTCTCTCCTCAAGTCAGACCTTCATCATCTTTCACTGCATGACTGGGCAGTTCTCCCAGTCTTTTGTTTGTCCTCCATGAGGTCTCAGGTCATCTTTCTAAACATACATATATTCTGTTGCTCCCTTGCTTAAAAACCATTGCTTCCTCTCATCACCAAAATAATCAACTTATATTCCTCAGTATGGCTAAGGATATCAGCCTTCCGTGATTTGCCTCCTACCTCTATTTCTAGCCCCATCTATAGTCACCAGCCCATCAACACCCTTTCTCTAGTCACTGAATTTGAACCTCCTCTAATACTCTATGCTGCTTCACGCTGACAGGGCATCTCTGTGAGCTTTTCCCTCTACTTCAAATGATCTTCCTCCTCTTCTTTGTCTGATCACCTCTACTGGCCCTTTAAGATCTAATTCAAATATCCCAAGCAAATACTCCCTAAATTTCAATGGCAGCCCACAACTTCCTTTGCTTTCAAATCCCTTCACACAAATAGTTACTGTCTTCTAACAGAATAAACTTGTTATCATTGGAAGAAATTACAAGTGATAGTAAAAGAATATTGAAAAATGGGGCAGATCAATTCACATTAAGAATACTTGACTGGCTACATGTTTTACTTACTTTTGTGGAGTCAAAGGAGGCAAATCCCATTAACTTCATCATTTCTATTTCTTCCTCTGTTTTGCCCTCTAAGTCTTCCTCTACAAAAATAAGTGATACATTTTAAACTAATTTTATACATAAAAAAGAGAACTGGCAATAAATTAATAGCTGTTCCACTTTACCAGCAGAGAATATACTAAACAATTAGCTAAAGACTTGAATTTAATGAAAAATCCCTCAAACTGGATAGAAGATAACTTAAGGTGCAAGGAAGAAGTGTGGTCTCCATCCTCCATTGTAAGAGACTGCTTAAAAGGATATGCTTGGCATCTTTAGGAAGGACCACCTTCAACATCAGACAGTGAAGATACTTCCAAAATAGAATATGTTCATGTTTTTAACTGTCCTTCCTGTATCAAGAGCACCAAATAACTAGTAATTAGGGTACAATTAAAACAAAATCTCAAAACCATATGCAGTGGAACACTGTGTGTGTGCACTCAGTCGTGTCTGATTCTTTCACAATGGCATGGACTGTAGCCCGCCAGGCTCCTCTGTCCATGGGAGTTTTCAGGCAAGAAGAGCAGAGTGGGTTGCTTTTCCTCCTCCAAGGGATCTTCCCAAGCCAAGGACTGAACGTGTGTCTCCTGCACTGCAGGCAGATTCTTTACTACTGAGCCACTGGGGGAGCCCCTAATGAATACTGTCAAAAACTTAAAGAGCTAAGTGTTCAAAAATTATACTTAATTTTATAATTGAATTTCTAAACAAGGCTGTCCATTTCCTACAGTTATTTATCTAATATTACCAGTTATCTGACGTTCTTTGCTCTTTGTTTCTTTTGTTTCTTTCTTCTCCTCATCTCTTCTTTCTTTCAGTCGAGAAGGGGAAGGAGATGTGGATCTATGTCGTCTTGGAGATCTAATATTTAATAAGGAAAGATGTCAGAAACAGAGACATACCTGGTGACTTGTGTTGACGAGCACAGATAAACATGAGTGCATGAAAGGTAAAGGCTGAACAAAAGCCGGATTCCAGAGAAAGGAATTTGTTCCCCAAAGCAGAATGAGGAAGAAAGTTTTGCCTAGGCCCTGACTATTAACAAAAAATTATTTATTGTTTAATTATCAGTTACACTCAGTATAGCTAGGCTAAAAACGTTTTTGTAAGGCAGAAAAAAGAAAACCAAAAGTGTTTGATGGTTATTAAGAATCAGAGTCCACTTCTAAGATTCTTCCAAGATCTCACACTCTTGATTATATGGTTGACTAAACTATTATCACCAAAAGTTTATAAAAAAATAAGACTATAATATACAAAACGCTTATTTCTTACTCCTGCTAAGTGCTTTTCATGTATGACTTCTCATTTACTCCTCAAGGCAACTCTACCATGTGGATTGTTATCAACCCCATTTTACCAATGGGAATGTTAGGTTTAGAATAAAGTGGGATAAAGTTCCGCTGATGTCATGAAACCGCAAGTCCCTTTGGTAACAACAAAGTCAAGGGCAGCGACTGCGCAGCTGTGGTAAAACTTCTGCTCCGCTGCACTTACCTGGAACGCCTTCTGTGTGGGGAGCGAGAGCGGCTTCTTCTCCGATCTCGCTCCCGGGACCGGGACCTTTCTCGGCGCCTGCGTTCTCTTTCCCGGGACGTGGACCGAGACCGCCTACGCTCTAATAAAAACACAAAATTGCAGAGTCGAAAATTACTTCAAACATCTACTGGATGCTGAGCCGGCCAACAGTAATATAATGCAAGCCATTTCTAGATGTCACATTTAAAAAGTAAAAAAAGACACATGAGATTAATTTTAACAGTATAGATTTAACCAAAACCACCACCATTTCAACATGCATTTTATATATATATATATATTATATATATATAAACATATTCTTTTTATCCGCACTAATCAAGGAAAACCGGTGTGTTCGACACTTAAACAGCAGTTCTCAATTCGGATTGAGAACTTGTCAAGTGCTCAATAGTCCTCTGTGGTTCGAGGGCTCATTTAACGTTTAAGATAAACCCTGATTAGCTGAAGGTAACAGAAACCAACGAGGGGGCAGAATCGAGGTTCTATGTGAAATCTTCCCCTCTCACTGCCCCCTTTAGGGGGCTGGGGCCAGAAGTCATTAACAGGTGAGCACCCTGAACGCAAACTCCTAAACGTCGATTTCCCTACTGTAAACTGGGGAGGAAACCCTGAGCACTCAAGAACCTGGCGGCAGCACATGCTGAGCGTTACGGAGTGTGGCATCCATTCTCATGTTAGCTTTTAAAAGGTAATATTTACCCTAGATGTCTAATTACGGGAATTCGGACGCAGGAGGGCTGGATGACTTGCACTCGGTCACCCAGAAACTGGAGGAACCATGGCCTGACTCTAAATTCCCAAGCCACAAGTACAACAAAAGTTATTACAGGAAGCTGACAAAGAGTCTGCCAAACCCCAGTTGGGTAAAAGACTGCCTTCAAACCGGAGGGCTGAAGCGTGTAGGGCCCAGGTCTTCGTTCCCAACAGACCACCTCTCTTCTCCGTAGAAGAGAAGGTTCCCCCCTGTCCGCGGCCCTTAGACTGGGAACCAACGTGAAAACGAATCTCCACCCGAGCCCCAGACCCTCAGAGTCTCTTCTACACTCACCCCTCCGTGGGGAGCGGCTGCGGCTGCGACCCATTTGGAATCCTCCAGTACAAGTCGACCCGGAAACGGCTGTGCAACAACTTCCGGGAGGGCCGGGAACCGAGCTTTCACCGCCGACTGGGAAACGTCCAAACGACTCGCCAGGGTTCCGGCTTCTAAAGAAGAGAGGCTGCCCCAACCTGATACCGCCTCATCCGAGCCCAGAGGTTCCGTCGAGAACAGAGTTGTCATCTCTGCTCCTCCAACCCCTTTCCTGGTGGCTTCACTATCTTCTCTCCCGTCTTTCGAGGTGGGCATTAGAATGTGCTTTGTTGTTGTTTAGTCGCTTAGTCGTGTCCCACTCTTGCGACCTCACGGACTGTGGCCCTTCAGGTTCCTCTGTCCATGGAATTCTCCAGGCAAGAATACTGGAGTGGGTTGCCAGTTCCTCCTCCAGGGGATCTTCCCGACCCACGGATGAAATCCTGTCTCTTGCATTGGCAGACGGGTTCTTTATCACTGACCACCAGGGAAGCCTCTGCTCCCTGTTATTCTAGAAATATAAGGAAAAAGCCATATATAAACCACCCTAACACAGTTCTCACCCCCGCCCCGCCCCCATTATTCTTTCCGACTATCTTGACCATAGGCAAAAAATAATTCATATCAAACCAATCTAAACTTACCATATGCAAAGTTTTAAGTCCATACGGGGATGCAGTAGGGCGGGTCAGGAGGCAGAGGGAGCAAGGGGAAAAAAAGCATGGCTGAGAGCTTTTGTTGAGTTTTGTTGGAGGGAATAGCAGAGGCTGGGAAGCAGGCTAAGCAGGTTCTCTAAGACTGATCAGCGGGCCTTGAGATTTAAGGGCTGTCCAGAGCTGTTGGTACCTGGCCCTGGGATCTGTGGCAGAGGAATAATGCCTTGACTTGTGAGCTTGATAAAGGAGGTGATAGGAGAGTAGGGGCTTCCCACTGGCTGGCTTACATACTAAAGTCAGACTCATAAGGGGACTCATTTGCTATCTCGCAGAACTAGCTAGTCCTGGGAAGGGCAGTCTTGGCAAGGCCCCAGATGTCAAAACACCAGAAAATGTAAGCAATTAAAAAGGCATGATTAATACAATTATTCACAAAAACATTTATTGCACACCTAGTACCAGAGGATTAAAAAAAATTTAACTTTTAAAATTTTTGGTTGCGCTGGGTCTTTGTTGCTGTACACGGGCCTTCTCTAGTTGCAGCCAGCAGGAGCTACTCTCTAGTTGAGGTGTGCGGACTTTTCAGTGCTGTGGCTTCTCTTGTTGCAGAGCACAGGCTCTAGGCTTTCGGGCTTCAGTAGTTGCAGCAGGCAGGCTCAGTGCTTGTGGCACACGGGCTTAGTTGTTACACAGCACGTAGAATCTTCCTGGATCAGGGATCGAATCCATGTTGCCTGCATTGGCAGGTTGATTACTATCCACTGTATCACCAGGGAAGTCTTGTACCAGAGGATTAATCAATGAAAAAAGCAAGTCTGTTCTTGAGTGCTTGCAGTCCACTGAGGGATACAAACAAGTAAACAGTATCAAGATGCACCAGAGGGGCAGAACAAGATACTAGGAGTTCACATGAAGTGGATACCTACCTTGTTTCAGGGGAAGGGTTCTCAAGGAATGTGTCCAGGAGGAAATAATGTCTAAATGAGACCTTAAGGATGAGTAGAAATTAGCCAGGTCAAGTGGGGTGACTTTTGTGGTGGGGACAGGGAAAGATTGTCCAGGCAGAGGAGACTGCATGTGCCAGGGCAAGAGGTAAGGGAGCAGATGGGCTAAAAGTAGAGACCTACGGAGCAAGGAGTGAACGTGTGAAGGCCAGACTGGAAGCCTTGTAGGCTGTGGTCAAGTTACCCTGATGTAAAAGCAACAGAGAGCTGTTTGTTCAAGGGCTTTGAGGACTGGAGGGACTCACATTTGAGTTTATTTAGAGTACATGCTGGGTAACGTGGAGACTTGACTGGGAGGTGGGGGTGCAAAACACCTGAGGAGGAAGGTACAGTGGTCTAGGTTGGAAACTCCAGTGACCTACACTAGAGTGGTTATCCGTAGGTAAGGTGAAAGTGGCTGAATTTGAGAATTGGTAAAACTGGAAAAGCTTGATTCTTAGATGTCTGCATGAGAGTTCGAAGATTCAAGGATGGCATCCAGGTTTCTGGCTTGTCAAACTGGGTAGATGGTAACATCATTTGCTAAGATAAGTCATATAAGTTTTGAGTGAAGGCTATATATCTTGACCTAATTTGAGGAGCCATTCTGAACACCCAAAAGGAGATGCCAACTAGATGTGTATCTGGAGTTTGGAAGAGAGCTCTCGGCTGCAACCACACAGAAAAGGAATCATCAGAATACAGATGTTCATTTGAAGCCATGAGAGTGCATGAAACCACTCAGGGAGGCTGAGAGAGAAGGGCCTGGAGACAGCTAGAAGAACCCCAAAAGGAGACTAAGGGGTAGCCAGAGAAACAGCAGGAGTGTCATCAGGTAAGTTTTAAGAGAAGCCTGCTGTTTTAAGAACAAAGTGGTAAAATGTTAAAATGAAAAATAAAAAAAAATAAAAAACAAAACACCAAACCTTACCCACATCTAACCTAAAGGATTTAGCAACAGAGTCTTTGTTCACTCAGTTTTATAGAGTTGTGAATGACTTTTACAGTGAAGAGAGAATTTGTATACCCCCCCCCCCCCCTTTAGGTCTGTGTTGCTTTTGAGATATTAGTTCCTCCACCAGGGATTGAACCCAGGTCCACCACTGGACCACCATGGGGTTCCTTGCATAACCCTCTTGAGAAGTTTGTCTTGTGCAGGGCAAAATATGGACTTTCAGAAGAATCGCAAACTCTGTGGCTGGGAGGAAACTACTGTGACTTTTTTCTTTTAATGTAGTTAATGGATTTAGGTTCAAATTACTTGAAGTTATGATTCAACACATCATTCTAGGTGATTGATAAGTTATCTACCATTTGCAGTCTTATTATCCTTTTCTGTTCTTTACATGGGTTCATCTTTAGGGGAATATAACTCCTGACAGTTTCAACGTTAACAGTCCAATATTCTAGAGCACCTCTGTTCCATAGAACTTTTTGCAATGATGAACAGACTCTATATTTGCACTGTCCAATACAGTAGCCACTAGTTACTTGTGGTTAACTAAGCACTTGGAATGTGTCTAGTGTGACTGAAGAAGTAAATTTTAAATTCTATTTATTTTTAATTAGCTTAGATAGCCACAGTGACCCTATTTTTACATCTGATGTTGAAATTTACTTATTAGTGATGGCAATCAATCCTCTTTAAAGACTTTGAAATGTGATAAAATGTTGGCTACTAAATGCTTGGTAAAAAACCAATGACTACCACTAATCATTTAATTTTGCCTACCTTGCTAAAAGTTTCAAGCCAAATTGATTTTTTGAAAAAGAAAGATATATATCTCTAGTAATTTAGCATGGAACTCTAGAATATTTCCTCTTAAGGACCTCTTCTTTACTGATAGCCAAGTAAAAATAATTATTAGTTGGCTTAATCTTGTTTTTTAGCCCTTGCAGCTTAAAAGAAGACCTGGCAAAGGTTATAAGGCAAAAGGTGACCAACACAAAAATCTGCATATATATTAGTTCATATAAGACTTCAGCTGACCCTTAATACTTTATTAAAAATATTCCAATTAAAAATAATGAAAAGTATGCAAAGTATTTGGTAAGAAAACAAAAACAGATCTTACTGTCAGTGTGAAGTACTAGCTGAAAATTACCGGTTTCTCCAGTGAGAATACAACTTACTTATGACTGAAGAAATAATTATTTTGTTTGTAAGCAATTTGGCTAGGAAACAAACAAGGGGCAGGAACCATATATAATTCCAATTTGATTAATTCATACAAGTGAAATGAAATAATTTTACTAATATACTCAAGCTTTAATTATCTTTACTCCCAAGATTTGTAAAAATTCAGTTATTTAAATAATTTGACTTAAATTTATGTAAGGGTAAGGAATCTCTGATGTTACAATAAGACAGGAAAAAAACAAAAGCATCTCATGAAAGAGATATAGCCAAATACAAAAACAAGAAATGTAGTCTCTTTATACAGCCAAATTATTGTATTAAAACCATTCAAACTACAGTTCTAGGGGTGGAGATAGGGAAGGCATTTAAAAGTTTCCTTTAAATTCACCATGAGGATCAATTTTGAAAGGACAAAAGTGATTTATGAATCTCTGGACATATCGCTAGGGAATAAAAACTAGCAATTAGTTCTAAAAGTTAAATCTAACTAGAAAAAAATCAAACTTGGAAAAAAAATTCTGGTTTCAACTGAGTTATTTTTTTGGTTCATTTTATATGTTATTTATTCTTTCTCCAAATGGGTATTTATTTGTACAGATACACAAAAGTAATTCCCATTTTTCTTAAAACATACTAAAAATATATATTAACCACAAAAAGTACTCACTTTGACTGGAAAGATGATGAGCATGGCTATTTTCAAAATAGCAGTAAATCCAAGAACTGAACATATATAAATCATGAAAAATGTACATCTCATTTTTGACAAAAATAAGTTCTATTTATACATTAATGCTTTATTATCAGCTTCTATATGATATCCTCCGACCTTATTTACATTTACTATGAGATTTCTAATATTATGTGTAACTCAAAGGCACTCAATTCGGAGATTATAAAGTCCTGAGCTTAAGTAGGAAATAGGATTCCCAACTGAAATTTGAAAATAAATAATTCAAAGATCACAGAATATGAAAATGTTTAAAGTATAATATTTGGTACATAAATAATCTGTGACCTAATGATAAAGTTGTACAGAACATCAAAGAAAAGACCATTAAAGGCAAAGGAATATCCTCAGAATAAAACTAATTTTCTTCCCCTATTCAAGATCATTTGAAAGTCTGAAGCTGATTTTTTTCTTGTTAAAATTCTAGGAAAGCAAAATAAAAAAGCATGAAAATGCTTAAGTTAAATAAAAGTTCCTCAGCTTAGTCTTCAAAACCATGAAAAAAAATTTAATGATTAATAACATATAAAGACTGGAAGAATATCTGACTAGTAGGAGGAATCATAAAGAGCAGTTGAAAAAAAATTAAGGACAGCTTTAAATACACCAATTGAAAGAGCACTTATAATTGGCCAGATTATTCCTTTAGCATTCTTTTAGTCAAATAAAAATGAAACTAACAGACGGATTATTGAGGTTCACTAACATTAAGTAGGATCAAAGTTCAAGCTGAAAACTGACTCTATGGTTGCAGAGGAATGTGAAATTTTCCTATAGCAATTTTCTACTGATGCTAAATTAAAAAGCATGAGTTGATATCTTTATTAGCAAATGGTTTGACAGATATTCTCTTGGCTTTAAAATGCTTTTCCATATATGCATAGAAATGTAATGAGGATAAGAATAGTCTTCTGTATTATCTGTACAGTTCGTAAGGCCTTTGTCATTGTTAGTCACCTTAGATGTGAATATCTGCAGGGCCATTAAATTAAAGCTGGCCAAAAAGTTTTCAAAGTGCTACTGTTTCCAACTGGTGAGATCTTCAGTTTTCTGGATTTTCTGGATGATGACTATTTTCAGTTCTTTTTTCTGGCGATATATACAGGAAGTTACAGCAGATATATAAAGGGAAGATCAGAAGCCTGCTGTCCAAGTTCATCACTACTTGTTCCTATAAAACAAATTTGTTACTTTAATGATAATAGTAGTATTATAAAAATAAAACAGAGAACAAAACTGTTGAAACGAGTGAACTAAAGGTTAGTATGGTGGTTAAAAGTTTGCATCTGGAATCTGACAGTCACTATTCAAATCTCAAGAATCCACCCACTAGCTTTGTGACCTCGGGCAAGTCACTGACTTTATCAACTGCAGCTTCCTCACTGTAAAAGGGGAGAATAACCACTCCATAGGATTATGCTAGGATTAAATGAGACAGTGCACATAGAGGGCTCAGCAAAGCCAGCTATATATTAAGTAACCAATAACCGTAGTTATTTTCATTACTGGAAAATTTCTATCAAGTACCTACATATTTTATGAACAGATACAGCCCAGAAATACAGAGACTTCTCATTTGGCTTCTATGTCTGATGGTCTTTATGTACAGCAAATACTTGATATGAGTCATTAATAATGACTTGGGGGGTTGTCACTGTCACCAATAAGCATGGCTCCTTCCCACTCTTGTCTAAGATATCCCACCATCTCTAATGCAAACAAGTTATTTGTCTCTTGGAACCTAAAATACATTACCATGTAAAATCAATTTCAAGTTCAGTTATATCAATATACATGAGAGCAACTTGAGATTCTAGAGCCAGGAGTTGATACTACACCTGAGAGCTACAAACGGAACCCTCACTCACTCATGCTACAGATCTCTGGAATCATTTACCAGCAGGTTTTTGTGGAAAGAATAAATCCTTAGAGTATAAGCAGTAGCCCTGAAATGGGAACTCCTCTATTTTTTCAATAGTTGGATATATTCTCTGAACTAATATGCATTTGTTTCATCTTTATACATTCTAAAGAATATACTTTTTAAAGAAAGAATTAAAAAAATATTTGACTGTTCTGGGTCTTTGTTTGTGTGTGTGGACTTTCTCTAGTTGTGGTGAGTGGAGGCTACTCCTCATTGTAGTATATAGGCTCTAGGAGAGCAGTCTTCAGTAGTTGCAGCTCAGAGGCTCAGCAGTTGCGGCTCACAGGCTCTAGAGTATGGGCTCAGTAGGTGTGGTACACGGGCTTAATTATCTGCGGCACACGGAATCTTCCCGGACCAGGGATCACACCCATGTCCCCCCCTGCACTGGCAGGCAGATTCTTATCCACTGTACCACCAAGGAAGTCCCCGAAGAATATACTTTTAAAATACTGTTTAAAAATAAAATAAAGTACTGTTTAAATATAGAATTTTATATTATTTACTGAAGCATGTGTTCCTATAGAGGGACTAAAACTGGAACATTTGAGTGACAGACAAAGGCTCAACTAGATACAGCTTCTGTGTTGGAGCAGCAAGATAAATTTGGATAAAGAAGGTAGGGAACAGAAATGTTACACACACACACACACACACACACACACACACACACACACACACTATAGTCTCCAAAATGGGCAAAGTGATATTTTGTTGTTTAGGTGAACAAAATGGATATGATGACAAGTCAGATGAGGCATCACCTGGGCTGACGGTGCAAACACGGTTGGCAGAGAGCAAGCATGTCAAACAAAGCACAGTTGACCTTCAGATGCTTAAGTCACCCTGGACTAGTCAACATCTGTAGCAATAACCTGAGTCAAGGCAGATTTACCAAGTCTATTGAGGACAAAGCCTTTGATAATGTGTGTATCTGATGATAAAAGCAAGATTCTCTACCCACAACTCTTAAGAAAATTAGCATTCTGGTATCTAAATATAGTTAAGGTTGGTGGGGGAAAGTATGTCAAAGACCCAATTCTGGGGAAAGAGAGCCATGCAGTTATCACTTGGGAGCTGAATGGACATACCAACTTCTGACTATTACACTGTACTAATCCCCATTTCCCATCCATTAGACACCTAACTCTTGCTTTGTTAAAACCTTTAACGCTGCCCGATGGCTCAGTTTATATCCATATGTGCACCTTTATCTTTAGAAAAGCTCCATTTTCCTTCTTCCACTATGGCATGGAAGCAGTGAAGTTCACACATCACAGCATCAGACATACTGGTGGTATCTTCCTAGTTTTCATCTGTTTCCAGACTCTTTTATTTCTATCTTTTCTGCTTCTCTGAGGCTCATGTTATTTATTTCTACTATAGATCTATTATTTATAAATTCCAGAATCCTTAAGTCCAACTCCTTACTAGAAGAAATCTTCACTTAGACATAAAGCAACTCAAGTGTAAATCATCAGCTACTGAATACTACCTACTGTTTCCATTCTTTTTGGGCCATCAGTACTGTCATGCTTGCAACTGGTTTTGATTCCCGATCCTAGTTCTTAAATACCTCACACCAGGTTACTTTTTTTGCCCACACCTTAAATACCAATGTTTCTTAGGTTTCCATCCTGTCATATTGTCAACATAATTTCCTGTAGGTTGTCTGATCCAATCATTATTCCTAGCCCAGGCACTGCTGATAAAACTCTAGACCCACTTATCTACCAGTGTACCAATTTTTACCTCAGTGCCCTCAAATCAAATATGCTTTAAACGGAATTCATCATCTCTTTACCCCCAAGTCATGTTCATTTTCCTTCCTATAATTCAAATATAAGGGAAAAAAGTTGCCCAAGTCAGAAAGCCAGGTACTATCTCTGACTGCCTTCTTCCTCACCCTCACACACACTTAAGCATCAAATTCTACCAAGTGCACACCTTAATTTTAAGAACCCATCAACATCTCCTCACCCCATTACTATCCTCCTTAAGTTAAGGTTCTCGTTTCTGATCTGGGTTACAGCAAGAGCATTTTTTTTTAAATTGGATATTGGTTTCTTTATTTTTTAAAAGGGTCTTTACTGAGGTATAAACATACAAGTTACATAAAATATACAGTAAGTTCTACTATATGTATATACACTTGAAAAACCAGCATACTCAAGATAACAGACATATCCATCACCCTCAAAGTGTCCTTAGGTTCCTGATGCTTCCTCCCCACTCTGGAAACCAACTGCCTGCTTCTGTTCCATAGTCTGCCTTTTCTAGAGTCTTAAATAAAAAGAATCATACGGAATGTACTCTTTTTTTTGTCTCACTTCTTGCATTTAGCCTAATTATTTCATCCATGTTATTGTGTGTACCAATAATTCATGCCTTTTTTACTGCTGATAATTTGCATTATAGCAATAGTTTGTAACCTGTCTTCCTGCCATTATCATGCCTCTAAGCTCAAAATGGATTATAAAGACCTAAATGTAAGATCAGAAACCATAAAACTCTTAGAGGAAAACACTGGCAGAACATTGTATAAAACATAAACTCACAGCAAAGTCCTCTATGACTCACTTCCCAGAGTAATGGAAATAAAAAACAAGTGAGACCTAATTAAACTTAAAAGTTTTTGCAAGGCAAAGGAAACTACATAAAGAAACTGGGAAGACAATCTTCAGAATGGAAGAAAATAATAGCAAATGAAAAAATTGACAAAGGATTAATTTCCAAAATATACAAGGAGCTCATAAAACTGAACACCAGAAAAACAAACAACCCAATCAAAAAGTGGGCGAAAGACCTACTAAACAGACATTTCTCCAAAGAAGACATACAGATGGCTAATAAACACATGAAAAGATGCTCAACATCACTCATTGCTGCTGCTGCTGCTAAGTCACTTCAGTCGTGTCCGATTCTGTGTGATCCCATAGACGGCAGCCCACCAGGCTCCCCCCTCCCTGGGATTCTCCAGGCAAAAACATGAGTGGGTTGCCATTTCCTTCTCCAATGTGTGAAAGTGAAAAGTGAAAGTGAAGTCGCTCAGTCATGTCCGACTCTTAGCGACCCCATGGACCGCAGCCTACCAGGCTCCTCCATCCATGGGATTTTCCAGGCAAGAGTACTGGAGTGGGGTGCCATTGCCTTCTCCGACATCACTCATTAGAGAAATGCAAATCAAAACTACAATTAGTTATCACCTCACACTGGTTAGAATGGCCAACATCAAACAATAAATACTAGAGAGGGTGTGGAGAAAAGGGAACCCTTTCGCACTGTTGGTGGGAATATAAACTGATACAGCCACGATGGAAGACAGTATGGAGATTCCTCAAAAAACTAGGAGTAGAACTACCATATGAACCAGCAATCCCACTACTTGGCATATATCCTGAGGAAATGAAAACTGAAAAAGGCACATATACCTCAATGTTACTGAAGCACTATATATGATAGCTAGGACATGAAAGCAACCTAGATGTCCATCATCAGATGAATGGATAAAGAAACCGTGGTACATACATACAATGGAATATTACTCAGCCATAAAAGGAATGCATTTGAGTCAGTTCTAAAATGAGGTGGATGAACCTAGAGCCTATTATACAGAGTGGAGGAAGTCAGAAAGAGAAATATCATGTATTACCCCATATATATGGAGAAAGATGGTACTGAGGAACCTATTTACAGGGCAACAATGGAGATGCAGACTTATGGACACGGGCAGCAGTGGAGGAAGGAGAGGGTGGGACAAATGGAGAGACTAACATGGGAGCATATACACTACCATGTGTAAAATAGACAGCCAATGGAAATTAGCTATGTGACTCAGGGAACTCAAACCAGGACTCTGTAACAACCTAGAGGGGTGGGAGGTGGGAGGGAGGTTAGAGAGGGAGAAGACACGCATACCTATGGCTGACTCATCTTGATGTACGGCAGAGGCCAACACAATATTGTGAAGCAATTTTCCTTCAATTAAAAATAAGTTAAAAAAAAAACTACCAGACCAAAAAAAAATGATGTTGCCATACATTTATTGACAAGAAAAGCTACATACAACTAAGTGGAAAAAAAGCAGGTTACAAAGTAGTTTAACTGTAAGATAAAATTCTGGAAAAAGAATATAGGAGATGAAAAAAGTGTCATCTCTCAGTGAACCATGTATGATTTTTTTTCCTGTTTATTTTTATTTTCTATAACAAACTTCCATAAGCTACATAAAATACATATATGCAACTCCCATAGCTCTCTACAGATCTCAGGAAAAAGTCCAAACTCAATCCATAGCCCATCATGCCCTGCTCTACTCCTGATCTCATCCTCTTTCAAACCTCTCAGTTCCCTGAAGGACCCATATGCTCCCTGGGCTCCATCTGAGGACTGGTTCAGGTATCCATTCACTTTTCAACTTGTCCAGAAGAGGCTTTCCTGAGCTGTCCCGAACCACTCCCCAACACCAGAGTAAAGGTTAGAGATATCTCCCTCAATGTCACACTCTTTGAGCCCACCTCTCTTGTGCTACTCAGCTTTATAACACAAGTTTCTCTTCATTTCCTCCACTCCTAGCATAAAACTAGCATGTAACAGGGACACAAATGTTTGTTGAATGAACAAATCAAGGAACACTAGGAATACAACTATCTTGGCCTGGTGATTTTTAATTAAGTCTCTGGCTGCTTTGGGCCATGACAGTGTTTTTTTACGGAAGTTCTAAGTTGAAGGTAAAGACAGACAATGTTCATGCAGCTCCAGAGGGTAAGAGAGAGACCAGTAGAGAAATTCAGTGGAGGCTGATTTGAATTTATTATGTATCTACCTTGTCATTTACTACCTCACATGACAGAATCAGTTTTTCATCCTTAAGAGTTCCAAAGTAGTTGAAGACCCTCCTTAAGAATGCTATTAAAGAAGTTCTCATACAAGGCAGGGAGGTCAGAACTATCACTTCCAAGGCTGCTCCATGCAGTGCTAAATTCTGATATTCTATGACAGGCTCTTCAGTCTGATGAAAACTGCTAACTTCTTTGTATGTGTGTTTTGCTTTTTATTTTCTATTTTTTTCTTTCAAAACTGCTAACTTCTAATAATTTATGTAAACTATAGGCTCCAAAACCTTTATAAACACAGTATGTCCTTTGAAATGATGGTTAGCTTTACTAGAAACAAACTTCCTTGATTTTTAACAGCACTCATTTTATTTTTTGAAACTGGTTTACTTTTGCATCATGATGTTTTGAAACTTATACATGTATGTTATTGAAACAAATGGTCTTAGAGATAATTTTAGGAACACTGTAGATGTCTGTCATTTTAGAAACCCACTGTGCTAGCAGATTAGGTTCTCTTAATATCTAGGATCTATGGAAACTTAGCAGATTGTTTTTAAGGTATCTGTTATTAATGTATAAATAAATGCAATAATGAACACAATGGAGAAAACAATTAAGAGTCATAACTTTTTGAAGATCATGTTCAAGATGAATAATTATTTCCGTACTGTCAACTTTTCCCTGCTCCTCAAATCAAATTGTATTTCCTTCTTTTTTGTCTTAGTTACACTTCTGCTAGAATGGTGTAAATCTGAATGAGTGAACACGGCACTTCCATCTTTAATTTCAAAAAACTCTCAAACCAATCTTTAAATCAAATATTAAAATCTTCTTATGAATTTTCAAAAAGGAGTCAAAAGACAAATACTACAATAAAAAATTAACAGAAAAATAATCAGACATACCTGGTCCTTTTCAAGTGTAAGTATTTGATAGCCAGTTGTTCTACTGCATATTAGTTTTCCACTGCTATCAAAAGAGGCCAAACGTAATCTAGAATAAAAACACACGAACAACAAAAAAAAAAAATGATTTTTTAAAGTGCAGATTAAATAAGCCATACTTTAATTTCTACTTTTTTCTTCCATATTCTTTTACTTTATTTTTAAATTTTTATTTACTTACTCTCTAGAAGTCTTTTATCTGGTAATACTTTGCAAAGTCTTTTCAAACTATAAACTGATTCCGTTTATATTTTTAAGCTTGTGCTATTATGTATATCTGGGATATAAAAATAATTTATGTTATGCCTTTTTAATTGTGATAAAATATACATAAAACTTACCATTTTAACCAAGTTTAAGTGTATAGTTCTTAACACCGAACACATTTCACACTGTTCCGTTGTAGTCAATACCATCATCCATCCAGAACATTTACTTCTTCCCCAAATGAAACTCTGTACCCAGTTACATGAATTTCCCAGTTCTACCTCAGCCCCTGACAATCACCATCCTATTTTCTGTCTCTATAAACTCGTCTACTCTATGTACCTCATGTAAGTGGAATCATACAGTGTATGAACTTTTGTAACTGGCTTATTTCACTTAGCATAGTGTCTTCAAGGTTCATGTTACAGCACATGTCAAAATTTCCCTCCACTGTAAGGCTGAATAATATTCTGTTTTAAGTATATACTATGTTTTATCTGTCCACCTGTTGACACTTGGGTTGCATCCACCTTTTGACTATTGTGAATAATGTTGCTATGTATACAAATATGTTTGAGTCCTTGGTTTCAATTCTCTGGGGGTAAATAACCAGAAGAGGAATCGCTGGGTGATATGGTAATTCTATGTTTAATTTTTTGAGGAAATGCCATACCATTTTCCACAGAGTTTGCATCATTTTAACATTCCTAAACTTCTCCACATCTTCACCAACACTTTTGTTTTTGATATTAGCCATCCTAACAGGTATGAGGTGATGTCTCACTATGGTTTTGATCTGCATTTTCCTAATGATTAGTGATGCTGAGCATCTTTTCATGTGCTTACTGGTCATTTGTACATTTTCTTTGGAGAAGTATTTATTTAAGTTCTTTGTCCATTTTTGAATCAGTTTTTTGTTGTTGTGGAATTTAGATCTCTTTGTATTCTGGATATTAATTCATCAGATATATGGTTAGCAAATATTTTTTTCCTATTCCACGGGTTACCTTTTCACTTTGTTAAGTGTCCTTTGGCACATGATTTAATTTTGATAAGTTCAACTTTTTTTTTGGTTATTGTTGCCTGTGTTTTGGTATCATATTGAAGAAATCACTGTCAAATTTAGTATCAAAAAGCTTTCTTCCTGTTTTCTTTCAAGAGTTATTTTATTGTTTTGGCTCGTATGTTTAGGTCTTTGATTCACTTTGAGTTAATTTTTGTGTATGGTGTAACATAAATATGACTTCCCAGGTGGCACAGTGGTAAAGACTCTGCCTGCCAATGCAGGAGTTAAGAGTTTGATCCTTGATATGGGAAGATCGCCTAGAGAAGAAAATGGCAACCCACTCCAGTATTCTTGCCTGGAAAATTCCACAGACAGAGGAGACTTGCCAGCTACAATCTGTGGGGCCACAAAGAGTCGGACATGTCTGAGCATACACACACATAACGTAAATATGAATCCAGGACTTTTAAATAATCTGTTCAATAAGCTATTTTCCAATTTGTCAGCATCCTCTACAGAAAAATATTGCCAGCTCAACTATTAGGCAAAGTTGGACATCTGAAATCCTATAGAAAGTTAAGGATAATATGAGACATGTTTTCTTATAAAAGTACCTTGTTGTATTTCCAGTTTGGACCTTTTAAGATTAGCAGCAAGGAAATAGCTTTAAGCCCAGTATCAAGCCTATACCATTTATATTTTAGCACATTCTTTCTTCCTGATATATTAGATCTAGGTTTTATACTTTAGATTATTAATACACTTTATAGGAATGGAGCTTTATCATTTCCTTCCCGTTTCATTGTATATTGTATCTTACCAAAGTTCTACCACTGTTGGTAATAAATTATGGTTTTATTTCATTTTTATAGTTCTTCTGGAGTGAGGAAGAGTGGGGTGGGAAAACTTCATCCTACCTAAATGCTATGCTCCTTCGAGGCTGTAAACTGACAGATCCACTACATGGCTGATTCAGTGTATTGCGTTTGAAAATGATGTATCGATTGGTGTAAGTTACAAGCAGGTCGAAGCCGAAGTTAAAACCTGTCCACCGCCAGCAGTACTGAAATACAAAGGAGAAAGATTAACTTCAGTTTATCATACTAGCAAGTCAAAAATTAAAAGATCAAAATGTCTTTTCTTTTTTAAATTCATTTCAAATATTCCTCTATCATGGTTTCCTAATTTTGTCAGTGCCTTAAGACTTACCACACAGAATATATCTGTAAGACGTGTGAAAGGTTTACTACACAGACATGGTATATATCAAAGCGAGCAAAAGCAGCCTTTATAATCATTATTCCTTAAGGTACTTTCTTAATATTGTCTCTTTATGGTTTCATCAACTCTCCACACTGTAATTTTATCATAACTAATATGGCTTTTTACCACAATTCAAAGGAGGTATATAGTTTAGGAAACTAGGAGTCTAGATAAAGGTAGTAAGAATCCATTAAAATTTCTCCTGCTTTAAAAATACTCTGAAATACCTTAAGTGATACCTTGTGTGATTTCTCTTACATGTAAAATCTAAAAAAAAAAAAAAAAAGTATTAAAAAACTCCTAAGCTCACAATTACAGAGAATAGCTTGGTAGTTGCCAGAGGTTAAGGGGTAGGGAGTAGGAGAAATGAATGAATACTGCTTTAAAAAAAAAAAAAAAGTTTAAATTAAATTATAAAAATACTCTAAACTAACCAACACAATCACCAACTGAGATATTTTAAATACCATCAGGAGGGACTTCCCTAGTGGCTCAGTGGTAAAGATCCGCCTGCCAATGCAGGAGGCACAGGTTTAGATCCCTGACCCAGGAAGATCCCACGTGCTGTGGAGCAACTAAGTTTGTGCGCCACAACTATTAAGCCTGTGCTCTAGAACCCAGGAACTGTAGCCACTCCGTCCATGCGCCCTTAGAGCCTGTGCTCCGCGACAAGACAAGCCACCTCAATGAGAAGCCCATGCACCACAACTAGAGAAAAAGCCCACAGAGCAACCAAGATCCCAGTGTAGCCAAAAAATAAATAACTAAAACCATCATGAGGCTCACAAGTTTGTTTATTCTATTAACTAATAGTCAACAGACACTACTAAGTAAAGCGGCATGCTACAATGATGCTGAAGTTAGGGCTTTGAGTGCTTGGTTGACACTATGAATTACAACATTAAATCAATAGTTCATTGATTATTTATTGAGCACATATTTTGTGCCAGGTACTGCTCTGGTCATTAAAGAGATGGCAGTAAATAAGTTTTAGCCCTAGTAAATGTATATTTTAATACATGTATGTTTCTGTGGAGGAGGACAGAATGTAATTCCAGGAGAGCGTGACAGGGCAGAGGATGGGGGCTGGCAGCTGGGGAGCCTACTGGTTCAGGCAGGTGGTCAGGGAACGTCTAAGAGATGCTACATGACTAGCGCCCTGAGTCAACTAACAAGCGGACCAGGTAGCTATCTGGGAAAAAGTGACTTAGACAAAGGGAACAACGAGTCCAAAGCTCTGGAGGTAAAAACATGCTTGGCATATCTGAAGAACAGCAAAAAGGGCCATGTGCCTAGGGTAGTAACTGAGGGGGACAGAAGCTGGAGATGAGTTCAGAGAGCCAGTCAGGGGCCAGAGAATATAAGGCCTAGTGTCCATAGTAGAGAAGAGTTTGGATTTCTTCCAAATGTGATAAAAGTCTAATGGAAAATTTTAGAGAAGGAGGTAACATGATCTAACTTGCATTTTAAAAAGATGATTTTGGCTGTTGAGTGGAAAACAGAATGTACAACAAGAGTAAAAACAGGGAGAGCAGTTATGAAGCTACAATATAGTCCAGGCAAGGGGTACTGATGACTTGGATTTGGGGCACAGTAGAAGAGAGGGCAAGTATATTTTGAAGCTATATATTTAAAGGAACTTCTTACAGACAACAGGTGTGGAATGAAAAAAAGAAGAACCCAAAATTTGGAGCTTATACAATGAATGAACAAAGGAGCTATTTATGGGTTGGAGAATACTTGGGAAGGAGGAGTCTGGCAATGAAAATCAGAGTTTAGCTGGGCCTATTCTATTTGAGATGCTATCAGGATTCTAAGATGTCACATGAGAAACTGGATACAGGAGTTAGAAAGTTAAGTGTTAACTTAATGGTGTTAAGTCACAGGACTAGGGGAGATCACTTAGGAGCCAGCCAAAGAGCAAAGACAAGGAAGAAGTCCAAGTACTGATCCTCCAGTCATATCAACATTTGTTGAGAAAGAGAAGGATCTAGCAAAGACTTAGAGGAAGCAGCCAATTAGGTAGAAAAAAACCCCGCACAATGTGCTCTCCTGGAAGTCACAGAGAAAATCTCCAAGGAGTGAGTGAGCAGATGGGTCACACTGCCAAGAACTTTCAGAAGATTAAAAACTACTTGATTTGGTAATGCAGGAATCAGTGGTGATAGTGGCATGGCAGTTTCACTTGAGTGTATTGGAGTAAATGAACTGGAATGAAGACAGACAACTTTATTCAATGAGTTTTGCTTAAAAATGGTGCAGGGAAATGGAGTGGGAGCTAGAGTGGAATGTGGGTCAGGGAATGGTTTAAGATGGGTGATGCTGTAGCATGTTATATGCTAATCAGAATGATGCAGAAGAGAAAAACTGACAACGCAGGAGAGAGAGGTGATTGATGACTATGAACAAACCTTCTGAATACGTGAGAAAGGATGGGGTTGTTACAGGAGGAGGGGATGGATTAGGACAGACACATACAGTTCATCCATTCTGATAAAAGTACAACACACGGCTATAGATGCAGGTAGACTGGTAGTATTTTTGGTAGAAGATGCACAGATTCTCTTCCTATTGCTTTTATTTTCTGAATAAAGAAAGAAGCAACGCCACTGGATAAAAATAAGGGTGGCAGCACTGCCCTTGAGAAGGTATGAGAGTTACTCCAAGTGTGAGAGGATAAGTTCACTAGGGAGATGCAAGGATCACACAGCATTAAAGACCTGCTTGAAGTTTACAGTTACAAACAAAACCTGCTGGGGTATATTTGGTGTTTTTCCTTAGTTGAATTCATTTGTATGGAAGCAGACATGGAAAGCAGGGGTTTCCCTGGCAGCTCAGTGGGAAAGAATCTGCCACTCCAATATTCTTGCCTGGGAAATCCCATGGATAAAAGAACTTAGCAGGCTATAGTCCATGGGGTCTCAAATGACTCAGACATGACTTAGCGACTAAACAACAATAATTGGCATGGAGAGCATGGAAAGGGGGGATTTAACAAGAACTGAGGACTAGCCAGGCGAATCTGACAGAGTGAAAAAGGGAAAAGAGAAATTAAGAGTATAAGCCAAGGACCAATTTCAAGATGTAACATAAAATTTAAGTCAAGTAAAGAGAGAAGTAGGGATGTGGTGAGAAGGTAATGGAAAAAAGACAGTAAGGACAATGTAATGTACATTCCAGTGGGGTCAGAAAGATGCTGGGAGGTCAAATACTAGAGGGAGAGCGCTACAAAGATACACTCTGCAAATGGTGTGCTTAAAATGGAGATTTTGAAGGGGGTGTATGAATCAGGCATACAAAATGGAGGATATGCTTACAGGAAATGGGTACCTGAGGTAGAGTGGAACACAAGATCATGGAGGGAAGGAAGGTTCAGGAAAAGATACTAAAACCACTGAGGCTGCTAAGAAAAGTGGGGAGAAAGCAAGCCAGCGAGCCCAGGGAGTGATGGCCATAGTCAGAGTACTGAGTGGTGAAGAAGTATGCTTGTCAAAGGAGATATCATTCAAGTATGATGAGGGTGGAACAAGGTCTGGGAGTGGCAACTAGGATGACTGAGGAAGATGCTATTTCTCATTCATATTCTCATCATTTATCACAACTGTTAACACAAACATAAAATAATAAATCTTTCAAAACTTAAAAGTTAAAATGAGGAAAAATCTGGGAGAAAAACAACCAAATGGTGATCTAAATTAGGCTGGTGATCTGTTCCACATATAATATAGATCGCCAGTCCAGGTTGGATGCCTGAGACAGGGTGCTCAGGGCTAGTGCACTGGGATGACCCTGAGGGATGGGATGGGGAGGGGGGTGGGGAACACATAGAAATAAAAAGTTAAAAAAAAAAAAAAATTAGGCTGATTTTTTTTTTTAAAGATAAAAATTACAATTAGGGTAGAGTTTTAAAAAAAATGTAGTTCATGTCTCCTTAATGGCTGTAAAATCAATTTAATGGGTCACACTCAGTTTTTAAAAATAAATTAAGTAGAAACAAAGCTTGGGACACAGCAGCTGTAAGCACTGTTTTGTAATACTTTTGTTTCCCTTATAAGCATTTGTACTGGGTGGTAATGAAAACCAATCTTAATGTGGATGGCAATCAAATCAAAAAGGTTTGAATGTCTTTGATCTAGGGTTGTAACTGTAAGATAGAATCACTCTTAAGACTACGTAATGGCTCTCATTAAAGATATTAAGATATTAATAGGATAAACTTCTTATTTATCTTAATTTCTGGATTACTGAGGGATCTTCTCATATCTCCTACCTAGACTCCAGAAGTTTAACAGTCTCATGAAAGGCTGACAAATCAGTCACCATTGAGCATGTAACTCCTTGCCCAGGAGATCATGCTACAGAAACTAAAACACACAAAAATGCTCTTCTGAGTTGTAACATATATCATGACTATTACTGAACGCATATTTTGCACTAACAGTATAACAATTTGTATGAGTTACAACCCATACTTACTTCACCATCTTTGGCAAGCTTTCTACCACACCTCATGCTGTTTCCCTCTAGTTCTTCTTTATTAATTTCTTGAGGCCTAGAAATATACATAAAACATGAAATCTCATAGAAAATAAGCAACTAATAATTGAAAAATAATTGTTAGTTCAAATCAATAGGAATAAACTGCTACTACATTCAAAATTTTGTGGTGTAGATAAAGATCAAAATGCAGGGATTAAATCTAGCCTATTACCTTTGCTAAATAAAAAATTTTAAATCTTTAGTGTTTCACTTATTGCCTTGACTTCTAGAACACTTTTACAAGGGCACAGCAAAACCAGAGAAGAGGTGAGGGAAATCTATGAGAAATTCTGCTTATTAAGAAAGAAAAATACTTAAAGTCTATTAAGTAAAATTTATTAAAATCTATTATATAAGATGTGACTTGGTATCATCTATTCTTACTGTTTTACACAGAACCCATTTTTTAAGAGTAGAAAAACCAAGTTCAGCATTTAACAGAAAACTGCTGTAGAACTTTATCAATTAATCTTTACTTGGCCCTTTAAAAACCATAATCAACTAAGAGAGAGAGTGTTATTTCAGTATGAAATAATAAAATGACATTATTACTAGCTTAGAATTCCAAATGATAAAAGTAATGTAATATATTCATTCATATATAGCATTTATTAAGTACCAAGATACTGGGGCTATCATCCTCTCATAAATATACTGAAACAAATACAACAAATAAAAGTTAATTAAATGTAGATAAAATAGAACATGCCCTTGACATCCAAGACCCCAGTCTAGTAGGGAGCTAGACTTAAGTAATAGTATAATAATGTGGAGAGAACTAATGTTAAGAGCATGAAGAAGGCACAGGTTTATTGCCTGGGGTTAGAGTGAGATCATCATGGAGGAAGTATTATTTGTGCATGAGAAGGAGTTTCTTGAGGTAAAGGTCAGGGATAACCTCTGCAGAAGAAGGCCATTTCATGCAGAAGATCAGTAGGTAGAAAAGGATCAGAGCATGAAAGGATACCAAATGTCTGAAGAATGTAGTGCAGGCAGAACCTAAAATGAGCATGAGAGACGAAGCAAAAGCATTTGGGACAGACTGCTGAAGGGCTGCCCCTGCTACACTATATATAAACTTTAAGATGAGAGAGTTCCCATGTATTTTTTGTTACTTTAAAATTTTTTCTCATGAAAAATTTAAAACATGTAAAAGTAAACAGCATAATGAGCCAAATTTTTTCTTACCATCTAGGTTCAGTAATTTTTAGTTTTACTCTCAACCCACTTCTCCCCACACTCCCAACTGACTATTTCTGAGGCTGATCCTCCAGACACCATATCCTTTAATCTGTAAATAGTTCAGTATGTACTTCTGAAGAATAAGAACATTCAAAAAATATTGACACAGATTTATCACACATGAAGCAATAATCCCTAACTAACCTCAAGTGTCCCTGGTCCTATTTAAGCAGGGAAGTGAAATTATATTTATATGTAGGAAGATAATCCTGTTGGCAATGTGGAAAAGAGTTTGGAAGAGGAGAACCCTGGAGGGAGACTTTACTTGATGATAACTCCCGAGAGTCCAGGGAGTACACTGTCTTTCTCATTTCCTGGCCTTGCAGTAGCAAGAAGATGCTCAGCATGTGTGGGATAGAGTGCTTCATTAGGGGCAACACAGTCATATACTTCTGAGGGCAAGAAAACCACTTATTCTAGCTCAGACGCTTAGGTAAGACTCTATATTATAAACTAAAAAAGGGTATACATGAGAAAAATCTTGGGGAAAAAAAAAAAAAGACCATCCATCATATAAAAACTGAATATACAAAAGAAGTAGGTAGGATGGTTTATAAAATATTTCATACATTACAAAATTCTTCACATCCAAATTCCAATAAATAATTTACTTTCATTGTTTGGAGGGATTTTTCTTATTCCTATTCCAACTATCTTACTATATTTCTGCAAAGTAAGTATGCTATGAATATATCTGGGAGAAGATGAGATATAAATTATAAGTAAATAGAAACTAAGAACCCTGGATAACAATCTTGTAATCATTATCATGAGTTTACAGAACCCTTTCACATACTCACTGTTTAGATACAAACACACTAGACTATTATTTTAGTAAGTTTTCTGGTATATAAAAATAAATTAAGAGAGACTGGGACAGGAATAAAATTAAATGTAAAGCCCTTCTATAAACTTATAGGTGGACTGTCTCTTCATACTGCCTATACCAAGGAGCTAGTATAAAGGTCAAACAACACATGTGGAAGTACTTCTGTGAACTGCAGAGCACTACACACTGATAAAACAGATAACATGCTTCCTCTTAAAATGAAGACAGTACAGAAATATTTTGTAGAGGCGTCATGTGCTTTTGACAAAGACACCTGTATCTAAATGAGTTAATTCACCTTAAAGTCTTCAAAAAACCTATCACATTAGTGAAAATTTGACAATATCACCACAAATAAGAAAATCAGCTTTACCTATACACATATATAAAGATCATGCTTTATGAAAGCGTTATTCCAAGTAACATTTCAATTAGGTTAAAAGAAAACTGTAACACTGAGACAAAGCACATAAATTATTCAATTTTACTAATAAAACAAATGACAATGCAAATACCCCATAACTGACCAGAAAGATAAATATTTTTAATATTGACAGTTAAAGAAATATAAGGATAAAAGTTGATTACATGATCTTTTCTCTAACAGCTCTTGATTTTAATACTGTTACTGTTTTTTTTCCAACATAATGAGTCCATTTAAAAATTCGTAGCAAAATCCACACACCTATCATCAATTAATCTACAATAATGGAGGCAATAATATACAAAGGGGAAAAGATAGTCTCTTCAACAAGTGGTGTTGGGAAAGCTGGACAGTTACATGTAGATCAATGAAATATGAACACTTCCTCACACTATATACCAAAAAGAAAAAATAGTTTATATACCTAAGTATAGAGACATGATAGCATAAAACTCCTAGAAAAGAATAGGGAAAACATTCTCAGATATAACCCAAGCAGTATTTTTTTAGATCAAGTCTCACATGGCCAAAGAAATGAAAGCAAAAAGGAACAAATGGGACCTAATCAAAGTTAAAAGCTTTTGCACAACAAAGGAAACCATAAACAAAATGAAAAGACAACTGACTGAATAGGAAAAAATACTTTCAAATGATTTGACTTTCAAGGAATGTTAATATCCAATACATACAACAGCTCATACAACTCAAAAAGAAAATGAACAACCCAATCAACAGTGGGCAGAATACCTAAATAGACAATTCTCTAGGGAAGAAATATAGACGGCCAATGGGCACGTGAAAAGATGCTCAATATCGCTAATTATTAGAGAAATACAAATCAAAACTACAATGAGGTATACTTTCATACCAGTCAGAATGGCCATCATTAAAAAGTCTATAAGTATTAAATCTGGAGAGGGTATGAAGAAAAGGGAATTTTCCTACACTGTTAGTGGGAATGCAAATTGGTGCAGCTGCTATGAAAAAATGGTGCAGAGGTTCCTTAAAAAGCTAGATTAGAGGCACCATATGATCCAGCAATGCCATTCCCAGGCATATATCCCCAAATGATGAAAACTCTAATTCAAAAGGATACATGCACCCTAGCACTATTTACAGTAGCCAAGACATCCAAGTAACCCAAGTGCCCATCAACAGATGATTGTCTTAGAAAGATATGGTGTACACACACATAAATACATAAAGTGGAATATTACTCAGCCATAAAAAGAATGAAATAATGCCATCTGCAGCAACATGGATGGATCTAGAGAATACTGTACTATGTGAAGTAAGTCAGACAAATTATCATATGATATCACTTATACATGGAATCTAAAAAACAATAAAAATGAATCGATACAAAAATACCCAACAAATTTGCTTATAAAACAGAATCAGATTCACAGGCATAGAAAACAAACTTATGGTTACTAAAGGGGAAAGGGTTGGGGGGTAGGGATAAATTACGAGTATGAGGTTAACAGATACAAACAACTATACATAAAACAGATAAGCAACAAGGATTTACTGTAGAGCCCAGGGAACTATATTCAACATCTTGTAATAGATTATGATGGAAAATAATCTGAAAATAAATATATATATATATATCTGGATCTTTTTGATGTACACCTAAAACTAACACAATATTGTAAAATCAACTAAATTCAGTATTTAAAAAAATTTTTAATTGACAAACCATTAGCAAGACTCATTAAGAAACAAAGGGAGAAGAACCAAATTAACAAAATTAGAAATGAAAATGGAGAGATCACAACAGACAACACTGAAATACAAAGGATCATAAGAGACTACTACCAGCAGCTCTATGCCAATAAAATGGACAACTTGGAAGAAATGGACAAGTTCTTAGAGAAGTACAACTTTCCAAAACTGAATCAGGAAGAAATAGAAGATCTTAACAAAACCATCACAAGCAAGGAAATCGAAACTGTAATCAGAAATCTTCCAGCAAACAAAAGCCCAGGACCAGATGGCTTCACAGCTGAATTCTACCAAAA